ACGAGAACAACGCGGTGGTTGTCAAGGAGTGGAACGGCTCGGCCTGGAAGGACTGGACCTCGATCGGCGGCGTGGTCACGGAGTCGCCTGTCCTCGATCCGCGGGGCGGAGAGCGGACCGCGATCTATGTCCGCGGCACCAACGCTGCGCTGTTCTCGTACGACTAAGTGGAATCCCTGTCGTTTACTTTGCTAGTAAGATGGTCAGAGGACTCTCATGGGAGGTTTGTTTGATAATAGATATAGCAGGGTGTTTTCGCCTTGACTCACCTGAAAGGAGATCTTCAAGACCTTCCTCTCCATGACTAGCTGAATAATTGCACACTCTTTTGAACAATCGAATTACCGTTGTCTGTCGTTCCCATTTGGAAGAATAATGATGTGATGTATTGAAAACAAATACGAGGAAGTGGTGTTGACCGCACCGCTAAGGTAATGACAGGAAAACTCGAGATTGGAAACAATATTGCAACATTAAAACAATAACAGGAGACTTATAATTCGAAACATAACATTTCCGTAATCTAACAAACTTTGACAGCAACAAAGACTGACGCCCCTAAATCCAATCGCGAGCATCGAGTCATCATGAAGTGCTCTGTCGTTCCCAAAACCGAAGCGCCCAAATTAAATCAATAATAGCAAACAAACCCAAAATTGACACACGTATCCTGTGAAGGAGATTGTAATTTCAACGCCTGATAGTTCCTTACAATTTGTTTGCAAAGCACACGCCTCTGTAAGACGGTGACTTTGTATATGTGCTACTCGGGGGCGGAGCAGCTGGGAGATGCTTCGCTTCCCGATTGAGGGAGGAAGTATATGGGCCCAGTGTGATCATCGGATGGCCTGTATTCAACTCCAGTCTTAGCCGGCATGCTAGACTGTTTTTTAGTATTGTTACCCAACGGCTTGCAAGTTTTCTTTATCCGCCTCTAGCGGATCCCGTCGGGCTCTTTCGCGCCATGCTTGCGGCATCATCTGCCCGCTCGCGAATGACCTTCCATTTGATGGCAGGCCCCTGCATATCATCCCACAGATCTGTGGGCAGGTATTCGCCGACGTCGGTGTAGAATGTGTCCCGAGCGGATTGGTCGGTCTCCATGATCTTGTTGACGTTTTCTTGGGCTTTGCGCCAGATCGCTTCCACCCGTTCGTTGACATTGCGACGACGCTCGACCTCGAGAACGAGACCATCATACGCACCAGAGTAACGCCCATAGAACTCTTTCAGTTCGTGCATCTCTTTGAGGTGCGAGAAGACAACCTCCTTCTCCATTTCCCACCTTTGTTTGAAATCCTCCTCGGCGGTAAGGTAGTCAGTCAGACGCTCACCAATCTCGCCGAGGGCGATGTACGCCTGCATCATGCCTTCGTACGCCTTTTTTGTTTGGGCGACCTGCTCTTGAAAGTCGCCGTACTCTTGTTCCATCATCCTCAGGCCTTCGTGGATCTCGCCGACAACGTCGTCAACCTCGCCAGCATCTTGCACAACGACCTTTAGCATCTCAGCACGGTCGCGAGCGGTCTTTGGCTCGAGGTCGGAAACGTTTGATTCCTGCTCGGCAATCACGCCGGAGATGGAAACGCCATCTGGGCCTTGGGGCTGTGTCGTCTCGGCTGCTTTCCGGCGGGCCAGAGCCGCTGCGCCCTCGGTCGTCCTGATGGCGGTGACACACAGGTCGAAGTGATTCGTCAAAGAAGCCAAGTTTGACGCCATGTGTGCCGAGTACGAGATGAGATTGTCCAATCGCTCCGTCATTAGAACTTGAGGCTTGTCGGGGGAGTCGGCGCCCGACGGCGATATCGATGCTTCGGAAATGATGGTCTTGAGGTTGCGAATATCGGTATCGAGGCGTAGCAGGTCCCCGTCAAAAGATTGTTGCACGCCCTGCATTGATGGCAGACGGTTAGTATCCTGATGGGCCATCTGTGAATGGATAAGCTGCTGCAAACTCACCTGCAGCTCCTCAATGCTCTTCTTCATGGCATCTCGCAGCTTGTGTACACTTTCTTCGTCGACGAAATCCAGTAACGTCTTTGGCTCTTCACCTAGCGGCCTGAGGGAGCTCTGCACCTTTTTGGCCCTGAGCACACTCATCATGGCACCCAGGGAGCCGTCCACCTCATCCATGGTATGAATCAAGGATTTGAAGTCATTGGTGCCCCAGTTGTACGTTGCCTGGAGGCTGCGTCTCAGCCTGGCGAGAATGGCCGTCTGGTCGAGGATGGAGCGGCGCAAGAAGCGCGACTGGGCAGCGAGGATGGCGGCATCCTCGTGCTCATTGCGTGCGTTGGTGGCCAGCTCATTGGCGCGGAACACGACGCTAATGGTCGAGAGGGAACGCTTCGCAGCGAGCAGGTGGTTGACGAGGGTGTCGACGGGGATGGCATCGGAGAAGGAGGATGATGATTGACGGTGACGGCTGTCGTTGGAGCGTTTGAGAGAGGCGGCCGATGACGCAGCGCTGCGCCGTGATGATGCTGCGGGAGAGGTAGCCATGATGGGAAGGGCAGAGGAATTGGGGATTGGGTGTCTCAGTCAGGGAGTCCGATAAGGCCGTGGATATGGATAGATGGATAGATTGGGATATGGATATAATGGAGGAAGACAGGGCCGGCAGTGGAACTACATGATGATCAAACCGTCGCTGGAGCCAAGGGGGAATGGGAAGGATGGTAGGACAATGTGCAGGAAAGTTTGAAGCAACGACAAGGCGAGGCGGCAATGGCACTTAATCATGCACGCCGATGATGGGCGATAAGATACGGCGTCGCAGTTCCAGCTTAAGCTGCTGCCGGGTTGAGGTCATGCGCCGCTAAAGCAGGTCAGGTCCCCACCCAGCACACCAGAACACCTTCTGGATCATACCCGGATCCATTGATATCATTAATAATGGAGCACGAGTATGGGTGCATGCGGTGCTAGCTAGCTGATGCGAGACCGGCCGGCAGCACGCATTGCGCAAGGGGTTGCGATCGATGGGATGAATCCGTCCCGTCGTCCTTGAGCCGGCCATCACTGCCTGCTGGGCTATGTCATCACAGTCAGCCTCATTGCAACACCACCCCCCTGGTCAGCACAAAACCAAGGTCCAACACCCAGCAAGGTCCGTGCTAATGGGTCGCAAAACCCACCTGCACCGAGCCAGAGGCCGTGAGTCACCCATTGGCCATGCAACGCGCCGTCGCACGCAAGGCAGGCTGCCGGATAAGCTGCATATGGAAAATGTAGGGATGGGCAGCTTGGTAGCCATCACTTTCTCGCCAACCGTCGCGTCACATGGGGAGGTTTCAGGTAGGCGACCAAAGAGGGTATGATCCAAAAATTGCCAATCTATTTCGATCTCGCATAGAACGCAACTATATAAGTTTGAGCTTCACAGTCTATCTCGCCAATGCAGAACAACTCGTAGCTGGTAAAAGAACGAATGAGAAGAGACAGGCATAAAACACAAAAACAACAACAGAGGTGTATAATCTTGGAACCCCACTAAATCAATCAAAGCTCGCTGTCCGCCATGTTGCATATCTACTGTTCTGTATCGTCATCAACTCTATCTGTATCCGCATCTGAATTCAATCTGATTCTCTATAATCGCTTCATCTCTCCCTCAAGGGGAGTTGCAGCGCCTGGAGTGTTGACCATTGACGAGCTCCCAGAATCAATGCGCAAATACTCGCGCATCATCGCGCTCATATCTCCTGGGGTGAGCAGACCCCCATCACGTCGAATGACAGAGGGATATGGGCTGGACCCTTCCTTGTCCTCGAGGCGACAGCCACCGGCATTGGCCTGGGCGTTGTCAAGATCAGCGGCTCCCTTCTCGCCCATACCACCTTCGAGCAATTCACCTCCCTCAATGACGGTGCGAAGCTCGAGGTTGGCATCCTTGGAATATACTCGGATGCCAACGATGCAAATCGCGTTCCATGGATCTGGCATCTTCTCTTCTTCGGTATCGTAGTCATCTCGAGGCTGAGGTGGCTGCTGAGGTGCGATGCGTGGCTTGCGGACCATATCGTCGCTGCTGTATATTTCATCCCAATCTTCAACAGGTGAGTCAGAAGAATCACCGTCTGAATCGTACTTGAGGAGAGGTTTCTGGGGCTTTTCGACCTTCTCTTCCTGAGGCTGAGGCTGTGGCTGTGGGGTTGGGTTTACGGGGGGAGGGCCGCCATCAATCGGAGGTACTTCTTGCTTCTTGTCAGAGGCGACGATCACAATTGTCGAGTCCTCTGACTTGGGAGTGAACTGAGGCGAGCCGGTAGACTCGGAGCCCTGTCCCTGACCTGACTTGTCATCGGCTTTCTCGTCGGGCGGGTTTGACTTTGCATCAGGTTCTTCCTTATTGGAAACATCTTCCTCCTTTGGCTTTACTTGTGCCTTTTCCTCCTCCGTAGCCTTGGCAGCGGCGGCGGCAGCTTCGGCAGCAGCTTCTTCTGCCTCTGCTTTTTTGCGCTGCTCGTCGTTCCAGTCATCGCGGCGCTTTTGCTTCTTATCCTTGTTCTTTTCGCCCTGCTTTCTGGACGCCTCTCGGTTGAGGTGACGCTTCTCCCAAGCGCGGCGCCGCTCCTTTTGCCTGAAACTTGAAGCCTTGTTCTGCTCGGTCCTCTTGCGGACCTTGGCAACCTTGTTGATGTGGTCCCAAGCCTTGCTGTGTGCCAAGTCGTACGCGTGGCCAACTTGCGCGAGCTTCTCATTCTCAACACGACCCTTGAGCTCTTGTTTGACGACCTCTTCAACAGACTGAAGCTTCGAGTTGCGTTCGCCGACGACCTTGACATACACCGAATAGTTTCCGGCAGGCATATCCGGGAGCTCAACAGAGACGGATCGGTAAGTCAGGAAATTTCCATGCGACCGAACAATATAGTCTTCCGCATCTGGGCTGTCCTGATTGTGGAGGCGGAAGTGAAGGCGGAAAGAGTATTGTCCAGAGAGCCCCTTGAAGTACTTGCGATCAAGTTGGCTCAGTGTAAGGATGAGAGGCGAGTCCTCAGTGAGCTTGATTTGGAACTTCTCATGATAGTCAGGCTTCCATGGCACATCGGCACCGATCCAGCGCTGGCAGCAGCGCCAGTCTGTATCACGGAATAGCCTGGTGCGCTCAATCAGACTATACTTTTGGATCATATCCTCGAAAGAAATCCAAAAGACGGAGTCGCTGCCGAACTTGTGTCCAAGCTCCTCCTGGACTTCGGTGGTCCACTCCTTGGAGCCGTCGCTCCATGGGCCTTCCCAAAGACCCTCGCGGATCTTGCCCCAGGGGTTTCGGAGCTTCACAAGACGCTGACCGGACTTGAGGGTGCGCGCATCCATGACCACGTAAGCATGGGCTTCTGAGATGCCGTTGCGCTCACCATACCCGTGCTCCATAACACCGGTGGAACAACCGAAGAGGAATTCTTGGTTCACCTTGAGCATCTCATTCTCCCAGAACTCATCGAGATCGAGGATGTCGGAGGTGAAGAGCTCAGTCGTGACACCGCCAGACAGGTCCTCGAGGCCCTCACCAATCCAGCCGCCAGACAGAGATGCATAGTCTCCATGGGCTTTGGCATAAGCCTTCTCGATCAGAGGGACCCAGGTCTCATTCTGCTCGACATTCTGGGCGAAGAAAAGCGCCTTTGAACCCGTCTGGTAGGTTTTGCGGTAGTGCTTCTCTACATCCTCGCGATCAATCTGCTCCAAAAGGTCTCGCTGTTTGCTTGGCAGGTCCCAAGACGGAGACTTTAGGTACAGCTTGTCGTCGATGATGGAGTAGATCCATTCGCCGTCTCTGTAGAAGACGAATCCGTAAATGCCGATTTCTAGATAATGATTAGCTTGGTTTTGATAGTGAGAGCCGAGGATACCCACTTGTGTTGTGAGCCACACAGAGACGCTTGATGCCATCCTCCACGTTAGCAAGCGCAGTCAACCCGGCCATGAACCAGCAGTCGCCGAGGCTGCCTTGCTTAACATCGTTGGCAATGAGTGAACTCATAAAAGTTGGCTTCTCATATATTTCATGTACACGCTTGACCGCTTTGGGAACCGAGGCGCTCGAGTTTAGTAGCGTGGAACGGCTAATCTCGTACTTTACCTGGCCCAAGCTATTGAGGCAGTGGCCTTTCTCGTACTTGAAGTCCCAGTCCTAGAATTTCGTCAGCAAGTAGCGCGGACGGGTTGGGGCGGGTGATCAAGCTCACCAAGTCAAAGCCGGGATCCCGGTAGCGCATGTTCACACGCTTGCACTCCTTCACAATCTTCTCGACCTTGCGACGGCATTCTTCTGCTGCGCGATTGTAACCATCCCAGAGCAGCTCATTGGGGCGATCTGGGGAAGCGGGGGGCGGGACTGGATCAAAGGGCAGGACGGCCAAGGCTTTGGTGAATTTGCGATTTGAGAACTTCTTCCAGATGCGATTGATTGAAGGCTGAGGCGGGACTCGTCTCTTTCTCTTCTTTTTCTGGTCCTGATTGTTGCTTGAGGCTGGCTGGGCACGAGGCCTGCGCGGGTCCTCAGACTCCTCGGACGAACTATAGCCGTGCATGATTATCGGGTGTGGGTGTTAAAGAGGGAAAAGGAAACCAAGTTGAAACAGAAATAAAAACAAACGGAGGACAAGTAGAAAGAATGACTATTGTCCTCGAGGTAGCAAGCTCAACAAAAACTTGCTTGGAAAAAAAAGGGTATTAGGGAAAGTTGAGGAACACAACGAGACCTTGGGAGGAGGCTGGGCGACGTTGCAATTTAAGTCAACGACGGAGAGAGCCAAAACACCGTCAACTCTGCCAATGGAATAAATTCGGGATATGAGACGGACTAGAACTTTCGGAAGAAAATTCGAAGGGAGCGAAAACTTTAGTCACTGGCGAGGTCGGAGGAGGACGGTATATATGGGTGAGTAGGAGGGTGATCATCGTGTGCCCCGACTCAGGGTCCAGCGCTATCTTCGGATGGAGGGTACCCGACTTAGAATAGGAGGGCACACCGATATGCGAACCACCAGCCAACCAGCGCTCACCGTATATCTGGACGAACACACTATTTCATGGCCCCTTTCCTCCACCCAATGTACATGTACGGATAGGCAGGAGGTAGATAAGACGGATCCCACCTAAGCCACCACCATGATGTCGCCTCGCCTCACCTCAACAAGTACCGCGTACACCGACTGTTGCTTGCATAAGAAGGTACCGCAGATTCGTACAGTGCGATAGACTTCCCATAGCCATTGTTGGAATGTTGGATCCTCACCCCCTGTCCTTTCTGGGCAAAGCGGTTCGCCCAAAAAGGCGGGGGCCGGGGAGACCCTGAAAGAATGAATAGATAGCGGCTTTGGAGACTGGCGCCAAGGGACGATAGAATGGATGGATGGATGAGCGCCTGGCCAAGCATGAGAGCAACCAAGTGGCGAGCAGCTTGACCATGCCACAATACAAAGAATGGTTCGCTCTTTGTTGGCCGTGTAAGCTGTTTGCCGCCTTTTCTCGACTTCGAATCCCAGCAAAACGGCTCTGTGGAGAAAATCGGAGGACAAAGACATGGCTGGACAAGGGTGTCTTGTGCCGCCAAGTACTTTACTTGCAGGCGGGGCCCTCCAGACCAGGGTCTCGAGCGACCTCCTCGAGCGGTCTCTGGATATTCCACTTGTCTCTCGAGTCGCTGCTGTTTCCTCCTTCCATCCGCTCAAGGGAGCTGGTGATTGGCGTTTGGGAGGTCAGACAGACGACAATCCATTCCCACTTATCGGTTGTCCTGTTTCAATTGGATAAGGTGTTCCAGTAAGGCGATTGGGCGATCTCGGAGAGGACCACACTGTATACCTCGACATGACTGCAAATCTGTAAGGCGAGCCCGGTGCTACAGTGCCTGCCTAGACATGCTGTGCTCATCAATGCTAGTCACGCCTCGATTCTGGAGACAGACCCGGACCCAACAAGTGGCCCAGGAAGTGGTCCCAACCCCAAGAAGACCCTGAAACCCTCGTTGCAATGGTGGGTTCGCGATGGCGACTTGGGCGAGTAGGACAAGAAGTGGAGATGAAAACTGGATCTCGACCCTCAGTTTTTAGGGGTCCAAGCCAACTACCTAAATTAGCCCGTTGGTGCAACGGCAATGGATGGGTCGGGTTGATGGCTGGTTGGTCCCTGACTGTGCCGGTGGGAGGATTCACTTTTGGCCCTGCGGCTGGTCAATCAGAAGCTGCCGGAAGTCCGGCGACAGGAACATTGTCAAGATGCCCCGACCTTGCAAGAGAAGGGGGCCAACCCGCATGACTGCTCACGGACCCGTGAGGCGAACATTGCCTGCGGCAAGGCTGCTGGACCGCCTGGCTAGGCACCAGGGGCTGATCTGTCAGAGAACAATCGTGTTGAGGGGCTTGGATGTGATTGCCTTGGTACTTGCCTTGGCAGGAGAAGTGGGCAGGGATTGATCAATGGAACGGAGCTGCCTCCCTCCCAGTTGGTTGGGGTTTCGGGCGTCGCACATGCAGCATGTATGTACAATAAAGGGAGAGAAGGACCATGGGGAAAGGGCAAAGGCGATCTCGGCCAGGGGGACCGCCCTGCTCTGCGCAATTGCTCACTCATCGTGACTGCCTCAACCGGCCGGGGCTTCCTTCCTCCACCGTACCCGCCCCTGGAGTAGCGCAACCCTCCAGTGGATTAGCGCAGTCTAGGCGCGTCCTACAGTGCATAAGCCGCGACATCGCACTCGCTCACCCACGCGAGTCACCTTGCGCCTGCGCCTGCGCCCACCCACACCAAGCTGATGCTGGCGCTTCCTTTTGGCTGGGTTTGATTTCGTCTCCTGCAGCACGGCGCAACTTGAGGCGAGATCATCACGTCCCTCAGCAAATCAGCCTTCTCATCACCCAACCTCCGCATGCACCTACCTGCATGGAGCGAATCTATCACCTGTCGTGGCATGGGCTAGTTTTCTCATGAGACAAGAAATAGCCCTGCCCTTGCAATGCACACTCGTATCATGCACAACCAAAGTTAGCGGCCCTTCGACAGCTCGGATTTCGTGGACGAGCGATGTCAGAAATCAATTTCAAGAAAGAACGAGGTTGGTAAATGATATAAATCCAAAAACGGCAAGACACACCTTGGACTTGAGTACTGTTTCAGGCGAGTTCAAGATATGTGCGTACCGGACGAGACATGTTGAGATCAAGTATGGCCACTGAAGTCTTGCCTTGCTGGTAGAATTGGTCAATAGCAATCGCATGTTGACCAACGCGATGTCGCCATTGCCAATTGAGAACAGCACAAACATACACACCGATGGATACAATGATCTTGGAGCGTGGGGTCTTCCTCTGCGCTCCGGTGGAAATCAGTTGTCAATGTGCTTGGTTTAGTACTTAGGGCAACTTCCTCGTACTTTACAAGAATGAGCGAAGACTCTGGTGATCAACTGCGGTTGTGATATTGCGGCAAGTGTACTCGTAGGTGGGTTGCCAGTGGATGATGCCAAACTCAACTTACCTATGTTCGCCTCTGAACATTGGCCGCAGCTGGCTCATGGGCGCTCTCCTTGATGCTCGGGGGAAGGCACCATCTGTCTGTGCTAACAATGTCGGTTGTTATTGTTGTGTTGAAACGAACCGTCCTTGTTGTTTTCTTCAAATCATCCTCTCATTGTTATCGCGGCTTCTCACTGTTCTTCAGCACTTATTTGAGCATTCATTCATTCACAGACATAAGCGCTTGAGAGATGGAGGAGCCAGCCTGGCAGGAAGTTCTCCGAATCCAACTCTACGCTATTGCTATCGCCATCTGGACCGCCGGACGGGTAGGCATTCATCCCTTGTATCTCTCCCTGGCTTATTGTGTTGTGGCTGCCATTGTCACTATCGCTGTTGCCCTCATCAAAAGGCAGCTTGCAGACAAGGAGACCACCAGAGGGTAATCAAACGACGATCCCGCTCGGCTGGTAAGAATGATACCAAGACAGACCTGCAAAACTCGTCTTAAACAGCTGTGGTCATTTATCAAACGTGGCCTTCGGGATGGGGAGGACCAGGGGAGCGGCAACAGACAAGCTGCCCCCGAGAAACAACTGGCGACCAGCTCCGATAATGAACCTGCCAAGCCGCCATCTCAGAGTTCTCAAACCGCTGGCGTGCGCGCTTCTCCTCAGCGTGGTCGTTCAAATGAGAATCTCAACAATGGTTCGGAACAGTCTATCAGTCCGAGCACCGGCCGTGGTAGGGAGAGGGGCGCCACCGCCACTGATGAGGACGATGAGGACATTCCGCTTGCGAAACTCCTTTCCCATCGTTCAAACCTAGCGAAGGAGAGATCCAATCAATCAAGCCCAGGACCATCTTTCGCTTCCCCGAAAAGCGAGGGTTCAACTTCGTCTTTACCTGCGAGGTATCGACGCAACAGTACAGTTAGAGCAAGGCAAGGCCTCGGTCAAGGTTCTCTTTCACTACAGCAATTTCCTAGTAATGGAAATGAGGGGAGAGCCCAAGGTGGATTTGACCGACTTGCATATATGTCGCCGCCACAGCCTCGAGGGATACCCAAGTTTTGTCGACTTCCCCCTGGAAGCAGCTCAGCCGCTCGCAGGGCCAGAGCACGCACCACGGATTTAGGCTCATGGGGATTCCCCATGATTGTGGAAGAAAGTGTTGAAGGAGGAAACCAAGTCACATCAGGAGAGTCGCCTACAGCAAGAAGAAGAAGACCCGTAGTCCCTGGCAGCCAATCAACTCGTTCACAGCGGTCTTGGGCACGGAAGAAATCTAACCCACCGCAAGGGGCGTGGCTTTGTGGTCGGTGCGAATGGGAGTACCAGAACAATCATGGTGACCAGGCACGGGCCGTATGGCTTCATCTAGGGATTTGGCCTCCCTTTGTGAGGAACGGGCGTCAGAAAATTCGACCCCAGCAGTGCGGCGGATGTTCAAGAGCACTATACTGTACGCTGTTCGACTACAATGACCCGAGGAATTGGCCGTGATTTGCCTCTTTGGGGGACATCTTGCGAAGGATGAACTGGGCGAGGTCAGCGTTAATATTGATGTTAGTTGAAGAGTCAACTTGGGCGTACTTTTACTGGGTGTGATGTACTATTCTTTGATTATCAAGCGTTATTTTTGATTATTGTGTATTTTTTTGATTACCGAGCACCGTTTACCACCAAAAAAAAGTCTATTTGATCACAACCAAATTGAACTTCTCGTCACGAAAGGCAAGCTTACTTTCTAAATTTTGTCTTGTCCTTCCCAGGAAGCTAGACGTACAGAAAGCTAACGCCCAGTTGAATAGCTACGGTCTTGTCATGGCTCGGTAGATGAGTGATCTCATAGAAACGTGTTTGTTTTGTCATGATGCTAATTTGTTCATTTACAAGAAAATGCAGTCTTAACCCTCGAAAGGTGTCTCAAATGGCCGCTCAGCCTGGGGTGTGATACGGGCGAGATGTCGGCGCTGACCGGACTTCCAATCAACAAGAGCCGTGTGCTGGGTCAGGCGGTTATCCCACACGACGACGGTCGACTCCTCCCACTTGACGCGAGCCTGGAAATCTGCGCCCCATGCGATGTGCTCGTACAGGAAGTTCAGGATGGCATCTGATTCTTCCTTCTTCAGACCGACGATGTCGCGAGTGACTGAAGAGAGGTTAGTACTGGATTGGGGACAAGGATTGAAGAAGGCCGTCTTCTAATGGGGGGACTTACACTGGGGGTTAATATACAGTGCCTTGGCGCCTGTGACGGGGTGTGTTCGCACGATAGGGTGCTCGTTGACGACGGGCTCACGGCGCTTGATGCTGCCCTTCCTTACGCTGGCGTTGACCTGCTCGATGCCCGAGTGCCTGGCCTTGAGGCCGTGGAGGAGCTTCTGGAAAGCGGGGGACAGGCGGTTGTAGGCCTCGGCAGCGTCGGTGAAGAGGGTGTCGCCGCCCGTCTCCGGGATGTCGAGGTTGTAGAGGAAGGTGGTGCCGGGGGGCTGCTGCTCGTAGGAGACGTCCGAGTGCCACGCGACGGAGCTGACGCGGCTCTTGAAGAAGGTCTCGTGGGACTTGTCGCCGGCGGCGCGGTGGACCAGGTGAACCTCCGGGTGGCCGGCGGGGGAGCCGGATGTGGGGTGGATGTGGTGGCGGCCGAAGTAGCCGCCGAAGTCGAGGGCCTCGCTGATGGGCAGGTCGGCGAAGTCCTGCTTGCGGAAGGCGACGACCTTGCGCTCGGCTACGAAGCGGGCGAGCTCGTTCTTGCCAGCCTCGGACAGCTTGCTCAGCTGGATGCCGTCGACCTCGGTGCCGATGGTGGGCGTGAGGTGCGTTACCTTGGCTGAGGAGGGGAGGAGGTTGGGGAAGGCTGGGTCGGCATCCTTGCCGTGGTCGTAGTGCTCGAAGGGCTCAAGGGCAGGGTAGACTTGGTCCTTGTTCCAGGTGGGAAGATAGTTGGGATACTATAGGCATGGGGGAGAACTCGATATCAGCATATGCCCTCATTGCTTTATCTAATAGCTTTCCACATTTGGAACTACCTACCTTTGCGGCTTTGTGCTCGTCGGAGCCCTTCTCCTCAACGTCCTTGGAGAAGGCGACAGGGGAGAGTTCCTTGTAGGCGTGGTCGACGCCACCGGCGTACAACTTGAGCTTGCTGGCGTCGGCGGCCAATTGGTTGACCGTTTCGGTTGCTGAAGGCGCCATTCTGATACTGTGAACTGATATCTGCGTATGTTTCTTTCTTTCTTATCAGGCAGCGGTATGTATTGGATTCTGGATACGGACTAGACTTCTAGGATCCTATGTCTCACTCCAAGCCACATGGCCGTTTATTTATATTATTCGTGGTGGAATCTACGATCTCGAGCACGCCCAATGCCCCGATTCCGGAGAGCGGGGATGGGTGAGACGTTGCAGTCTTGGTAATCAACTGGAGCAGCATTCTGCTTCTTCCTCGCCCTCGACGAAGATGATTGCTCGGTGTTATGCATTACGCAACTATGGCGGGCATTGCGTAGATAGCACAGGCAATAGAGAGCTGTGCTCGGCTGGAAGTGAGATCACGCAATGGGGGAGAAGTTGGCGTGACGGGACCAAGTGTCAATGAACCAACTTATCGAGCTTCATTGCGTCCCGCAAATCGATTGCGCCATCGCCCAAATCGTACCAAGAAGCCCGACAATCAGCGCCGTCATCGAGATGATTGGGCCCATAGTGGTGTCGCAATGCCATGGGCCACTTGACGCCATCGCCAATGGCACTATAGCTGTTGCGATATGTGTCATGCTGCAGAGCGCTAGAAACCAGTTCCAAGACTCCAAGACTCCTCGGTAGGGTCGGTTAGACAACTCTACGGTTACTCGAGACGACCGTGACATTCTGGATCCACCCTCGAAACTCGAATTCATTAAAGCTTCACCAAATGAGCTAGTTGGTGATAAGCTCATGGAGTCCCGGTAGCCGCGAGTTGAAGCCACTGTCGTGATCTTCGCTCCCCTTCCAAGCCTCAGTTTGGCTCTTAGCTCTCATCCCTAGCCAAACTAGGGAGCTTTCCCGGGTTCTCGAACGACTCCGCGGCCTCCCTTGCTCCATTGGCACCCTCCAATAAATGTAACTACTCTGAATTAAGCTTCTTGCGTGGTTATCAGATAGTTGTAATTGGCCCGTGGAAGGTCTGTAGAGGAGGCCTGCCGTCCATCTCGAAGACTGGGATGGCTAGATAGTCGAAAGACCCCCGGTTCCATCAGGTTACTTCTGTGTCTCTTCTTGGCAGCAATGGCATCATGGGCGCTGGGAAAAGCTCGAGGCCACGTTTTGAGGTGATTTTCCGGTTGCATCGCGACATTTCTCGGAATTTTCTGCCCAGAGAGGGCCCCTTGGGAGGTAACATACTGGGGGATGGGATGGGGGCGCGCGGCGGGATGGTGCGTCTCTTTTTATACCCCTTCATGCACCTCGAACCTTTGTTTTCCCTTTTCCTAGACAATTCGACATCTCCGCGGAGCTCTACCAAATCGCTGGGAACCCTGTTGCTGTTTGGGAGTAGTGCCTCGCTGCGTGCCGAGATAGTTTCGTTTGCAGCATCTCCGCGGGAGCTATACCCTACCTTGTCCGCTTTTGTCCTCCAGACATGGGTTTCTTCGCAGCCAGTAACGGCGAGCTAAAGCAGGCTGTCGTTACCAATGCCTCTGACAGCGGCAATGAATCCTCCGGGTCTGATGACCACATCTTCTCTGATCCTTCTGTAGCCGATCACTGGCGAAAGGTCTATGAGAAGGCCAACTATGAGAACCGTCACCGGTTTGATCCCAACTACAAGTGGGAGCCTGAGGAGGAGAAGAGACTCGTAAGGAAGGTATGTCTTTGGTTTTATTCTTGTATTGTCGTGCGTGGAAAGCAACCCAACTGACATACATGCAGATTGATCTTCGAATCACCCTCTGGGCATGGATCATGTTCCTGTCTCTGGACTTCCACCGCCGTAATATCAATCGCGCTATTTCGGACAATATGGTGAGTAGCCTACACGGCATCCACACCTGCCACACTTGTTATGACACATAGATATCTAACTAGCACGATGACAGCTGCCGGAAATAGGCATGAACACCAATGACTTCAACTACGGCCAAACGGTTAGTGTCACACCTACCACCCGAGTGTGCCTCGAACATGTGCTCACTGTGGGCCCTTAGATCTTCCTCGTGTGCTTTCTCTCGGCCGAATTGCCCAGTGGTCTCATCAGCAAGAAATTGGGCGCTGATCGATGGATCCCATTCATCATCTGCGCGTGGTCACTCCTCGCTGGAAGCCAGGCCGCTCTCCACAGCAGAAGCGCCTACTTTGCCATCAAGGCCTTCCTAGGTCTTTTCATGGGTGGATTCATTCCGTAAGTGCCAAGAAGTAATCTGAGAAACAGCGATCAGCGTGTGGATTCATGACATCTAACCTGGGGAATAGCGATATTGTGCTATGGCTCACCTACTTCTACAAGTCAGGAGAGCTGCCTATCCGTCTAGCCTTTTTCTGGACTGCTCTGAGCACTAGTAACATTATCGGATCTCTTCTGGCTTCCGGCATTCTGCAGATGCGAGGTGTTTTGGGATGGGGAGGATGGCGATGGCTGTAAGTGGATCCAAGCCAATGTCTTCACAGAAACAAATACCCAATATCATCACAGAGACAATAATTTGCTGACAATATATCTAGATTCCTTCTTGAGGGTATTATGACTTTCATTATCGGACTTTTCTCCTGGGTTCTCATGCCTCCCGGCCCATGCCAGACTAAGAGCTGGTTCCGTGGCAAGGACGGCTGGTTCAACGAGCACGAGGAGTACATCATGGTGAACCGACTGCTGCGAGATGATCCCAGCAAGGGCGACATGAACAACCGACAAGCTGTTAACCTAGCCAAGCTCTGGCGTGCTGTGAGCGATTGGGAGCAATGGCCGCTGTACCTTATCGGTCTCATGGTCTACATCCCCCCCTCGCCCTTCAGCACCTACCTCTCGTACATTCTCAGGGAGATTGGCTTCTCGGTTTTCCACGCTAATCTGCTCGCTATTCCATCCCAGTTCCTCTACGCCGTCAACCTGCTTATCATCACATGGGTGTCCGAGCGGGTAAAGGAACGTTCCATTCTGTCGTCTATTTCCAATATCTGGATCTTCCCCTGGCTCCTTGCTCTCGTGGTCCTGCCTGCGACGATTTCTCCATGGGTTCGATACGCCCTCATTACTGGTCTCCTGAGCTACCCGTACTGCCACGCTATCCTGGTCGGCTGGAATGCGAAGAATAGCAACAGTGTGCGCACACGAGCTATCAGTGCAGCCCTGTACAACATGTTCGTCCAGGCCGGCAATATTGCCGCGTCCAACATCTACCGCGAGGAGGACAAGCCTCTATACCGACGTGGAAACAAGATCTTGATCGGTATCACCTCTGCTAATATCTTGCTATTCTACTTCGTCAAGGTTTTCTACGTCTGGAGGAACAAGGTCCGCGACCGCAAGTGGAATGCGCTTACCAAGGAGCAGCAGGAGGATTACACCCTCAACACAACGGACGAGGGTCAGCAGAGGCTGGACTTCCGATTTGCACACTAGGCCCCTTGGGTGTATGTGGAGGATTTTGCTAGGTTTAGACGTTAATGATCGCGGATCGACTTGGCGCATGAACAATGTGACGATGGAGCAGAGGGAGGAATGGGGGAACTGGTGTAAGGAGGGGTTAGAGGACAGGGCTATGAGCGTGCGTGTTCAAGGAAAGACAAAAATGATAATACTGCCGGCACCATTGCATTTAATCACTACCTAGTGCTACCGCCCCATGTCTCCTCCCTATATAGAGAATAGACAAAATAAAATCAACCGAGAAGAGGTGAAGATGAAGTTGGACCTACTATATCAGCCTCCTCGGCGGATGCAGCCGCCGCGTTGATGACACGGGTATTCCCTCTCCTCTCTACGCTTCGTCTCCAGGGCTTGTAGAGAAGGATGGATCCAACACCAACGACGAGAAACACACCACAAATAGACCCGCCGATGATGTCGAAATTGTCGCCGATAGCCTCAACGCCATCCCAGAACGGGCCCTCTGGCTCTGCAACGTTCTGGATAAGGGCCAGGACCTGGATGGTACCGATGAATGCAGACACAAAGACGGTGATGGCGGTGAGGATAATGGAGTAGTACAGGATGGCGACTGTGTCGCGGGAAAAAGCTTTAGATGTGTAGAGGGCGAGCATGAGGGCTCCATCGGTGGTGTCGAGGAGACACATGCCGGCTGAAGATCAAATTAGTTACTTCCACCAGAACGCAAGGCTTGACGAGGGAGTACCTACATGTGAACAGAACGGGGAATATCAGGATCAGCCAGATGCTGGTTCCCTGCACGGCCTGGATACTTGCAATACCAAGAATAGCGATTTCAGAAGAGGTATCAAACCCTAGGCCGAAGACTACCCCGAGCGGATACATCTTCCACGGTCGGTCAATCGCCTTGAACAGCTTTCCCAGCATCCGGGTAAAGCAGCCTCCCCCTTCAAGAGACATGGCAGCTGTAGCAGCGTTTGGGTCCTCGTACTGGTCACCATACATGGCACGATGGGAGAGAGCAGCCCGCAGACGCTTGATCAAGGTGTAGAGCACCCATCCGTTGGCAATGCACAATATTATAAGGAATACAGCGCTGACAGAGGTCCCGATGATGTTTCCTACTCTAGTAAAACCATCGAAGCGCTCTCTGAGGGCGCCACTGGTGGCAGCAACAACGATGCAGGTGATGATGACAATTGTACTGTGGCCCAGACTGAAGAAGGTGCCGACAGTTGCCGGTCTCTGCCCACTGGCGATCAGCCTTCTGGTGGTGAGGTCGATGGCCGCGATGTGGTCAGCGTCAAGCGCATGCCGTAGGCCCAGTGTGTAGGACAGTGCTGCAGACGGGGCGAGACGTGGGTAGAAGTGGAGGATGACTCCAGCAATCGCCCAGACAAGGACATTGACCAAAATGAGGCAAGCGATGATGTTGATCGAGTTGGCGGGGAGACCCTTGAGAAAGGCCGGACGCGAGAGAGCAAAGCGAGCCATGGCTGGTTTTATGGTGCTTCCGGGGTCTCTGAGGGGGAAGGCTTCCTTTGACAGAGGCTTCAAACTGGTCTCGACATGAGCAATATTTCAACGTGGAAGAAAATCGTGACTCTATTTCTTATCAATCACCCACAACCCCGCGGCCGAGCTGAGGTGGGTGTCGATAAGCTGCGGGGCAGATGGCGACCATCCTCAATAAAGGGAAGTTGCACTGGACGGGCCGAAGGCTGCATCTCTCTTTTCTCGTGGTTGCAATGACTCGCCCGGCAGTTTCGGCACTGAGGATCCTGTGCAGATTTAGATAGCATCATTTACGTAAAATATCTGGCAACATAAGGTAAGGTACTATCTGAAGCCATCCGCCAGCCTGTACATACTACCTACACACCTATTATGTGTTAAGAGCGACAAGCCAAGGACCTCATATTCTTATTGATAATACTAAATGTAGGTAATAATAAGTCAATAATAAATTATTCTACAATATTTAGCTCGATATTGTGCTATTAATAGGTTAATTGTTTTGATAGGATTAACTAAAGAAATCGCCATCAAACCTCATCTAGCCCTAACAATTGAGTTGTAGCTATCAAACAGCCCTCTAAAGGCATCTACTTCACTGTGTCGTCGCCAACAATGCAGCAGACACCTTCTTCGCCTCCTCATTCAGTGCATCGATTTCGGCCTGCACCAGCGGGATGCCACTCACTTCCCTCTCTTTTTTCGTTAGCTGCTCAATCTCGCCCGGGAAATAGATCCTCTCTACCCCAGCCGCCTTGTCTGATCCAACCACACGGTCGTACAGGTATTGGATCCGGTCTCTGAACTCATCCAGACCCATGAACAGATCTGGCTTGATGGCCACAAGGAAATGCCCAACGTCTGCGGGCTTTGATGGATCGTACGGGCCCGTGACATGACCGGCAAAAGCCGACCCAGAAAGCACACCTGAGAATACATCCATCATGATAGCCAGTGCCGAGCCCTTGGGCCCTCCCATGGGCAGCATCACACCTCCCAGCGCCGCCTCCGGGTCATCTGTCGGCCGGCCTTCGGCGTCCAGCGCCCAGTCCAAAGGAATCTTCTCTCCACGTCTCTTCGCCTTGTAGATCTTCCCACGGGCCGCCACCGAGGGCGCCATGTCCAGGATGAAACTTGTTTCGGGTGTCTTGCCCGGCGCGCCACAAGCAATCGGTGACACACCTATGAGCTTGCTCTTGCCCCCGAAGGCGGGGAGAGCAGGGCTTGAGTTGGTGAATACCAGACTCATCATGTTCGCATCAATCGCTTGCTGCACGATCCAAGCGCTCATGCCATAGTGATTGCTGCCCTTGATGCTGGTCATGCCAATGCCGTAGATCTTGGCACTCTCGATGGCGGCAGCCATGCCTTTATACGCCGACACGAAGCCAAATCCGTTTTTCCCGTCAATCTGTGTTACCACGGGCGTCACTTGAGTGACGACTGGCTGAGCGGCGGGGTCAAGGGCTCCTTGGCGGATGCGCTGCATGTAAGAGGGGATGCGGTTCATGCCGTGAGTGTCCACGCCACGCAGATCGGCGGCGATGAGGCACTTGGCAATGATGGCTGCATTCTCGGGCGGTACGCCGTTTCCTTTGAGGACATCCTCTACGAAGCGTCTGGCCTCGCTGGGAGCGACAGGGAATTTCTGGGACTCGTTTGACGCCATTTTGATGATGGACGTGGTGTTGATGCGGTTTATACACTCGGTGACTTGAAGTGATTGCGGGTTACCTTGTTCTATAAGGCTAAACGCGCTTTCTTTGATTTATTATGTTATGTCTTTTTTTATATGCTTCAATTCCAGTTTGCATTTATAGATAGAAATCTTTCCAAGCAGTCAAAACCATCAACGGAAGAACTCCGATGTCGTATGACGGAATTTCGCCGCGTATGCGGGATTTCCCCGCCCGGCTGCTCGAGAGCGATTCATTTCCCCCAGGTTGTTCGAAACATACCCAGGATTTGAGAACCTTCTGTGATGGCAGGGATAAAAATCTCATGTCTATTTTGGTTTGTATTGCGACGAGTATCTCATCTACCCGCTGCGATCGTGGCAGAGATGATACACAAACATAGTAGGCTTGTCTCATTATCCTGTGAACAGTTCCCCCAGCAATCGATACTGGGATCTTTCAAATAGGGGAGCCTCGTCAATTAATGTAATTATACACTGTTGGGTCTTATTTCCGGTCTATCTATCGACAGTTTGAAATTTAATCTATATACAGTCGTACTCAAGCCTCAGCTGAAAAGAGCCGTCAACCTTGATCCCTAATTCAAGACAGGAAGGGAACACACAATATATCACAGGGCTATCATCTCGGCTTAGTGAAAGCAAGTGGGCTTCAGGTTGGCGGGAGCGGAATCTGCGAGGAAGATGCGATATTGTGAGATAAGAAGGGCCGAGTTAAGTTCACGCATCAAAGATGCTCACTTCCACAGAGCATCTAGATACGATCCACGCAATAGGCTCCGTCAGGGAATGTCGCTATAGCATCGAAGCTCAAAAATGGCTTGTTCTCTTTGATCATTTGAGAACACCGGAGCAGGCAGTTTATGAACTCTTAGCGGTAGTCTGCTGCCCCGGCAGCTTAACATATTTCGTGTGCTGCCCCAAAGTCACAAGCTTCGCCTGCCCGTTCTCCCCAATCTTGGATATCTTGCAAGTGGTAAACGCCATGTTACCGCCGACCCTCTCTGCCGTGGCCACAATCTCGACAACATCTCCGACGCCGGCTGTGGCGAGGTAGCTGATGTGCATGTCCACGCTGGCCCCCGTCTGGCTCCTGAGGTCCCATGAAGCGATGGACAGGCCCGTGGAAAAGTCCACTATGGCTGCGGACACGGCGCCATGCAGGCCCTTTCGGCTGTTGACGTGGGCATCGGTGAGTGTCAGACGGAGAGTCACGACGCCGCGGGAGACGGAGTGCAGAGTCGCGTCCGAGAGGAAAATTTTGTAGATGGTGCTGTTGGCGGTAAGGCGCTGCTTGAGGGCTTCAATGTGGGCGGTACGCTCCTCTTCCGTTGTCGGTGGCGTTTCAATGCCCATTTTCCCATCAGAATTCGCCATTGATTCACGTGTCTTCAATTAATGCCAAACTGCGCAAGGCTCGAGGTATTTGTAGTATGGGTTAACGAAGAGAAACTTGGAAAGCGGAAGAAATCCGAGTGAAAGGCCCCACCTGCATCTTGAGATGATCACTCTTCTAGTGAAATTTCAAGAAAAAAATAGGCTCAACATCAGAAATGTTCATTCATGGAACAATAGCTTCAGATTTTTCATAATCGTAGCTCTTAAATCGCTAATTTTAAAGACAAGGCTCTTAGTCCTCTCATAATTCAGGTCCCAAGTATATCGCCACTCGGGCCCCAGCAAGGATTTTTTGTGATATTCGCTGGCCACTTACTCCGTGAATAGAAATGATGGCAATATCACAGGAAAACATTGTTAAAGTATCAGGTTCGAAAATTCCTGACAGTGTTGGTCTTGAATTACATTCGCCAGGCTCAGCACCAAAGTGCCATTATCCCCTACCCTGAATCCATGACCTCCATTGAAGGCATCATCCCTCCTCTTTAGAGTCGCATTCGCGAAAGATCACTGAAATTGAGAATGAGGCTTTTATCTAACGATATTAATCTCTAACCATCATTTGGTATGTTCACAATCGAGGAACTTTGCGGGTCAGGGATCACATATCATTGAGCATTTTCCGACAAAGTTAACACGGAACTTAGCCAAAATATTGCTGAACAGCCCTAACAATGAGGGACAAGAAGAATCCGAAGATTCTCACAGGCCAATTTATGTATGACACTACCAAAGTTCCTAAGCCCAAAAGGAGGGTCCCAAGTGCTATTATAGTTGCTTATATAGGCACAGTTTCTGACAGAACTCATTTAGCTGAATACTGCTGGAATCGCCCAAAATCTTAGCTTGCAGTTGAATCTTTACCAGCTGTCCATCGTGACGTAGATGTAATGTCATAAATACACTAAGAATCGACCATACTAAGGAGTGGAACTGGGAAGTGTTGTCCCAAACGGAGGGAGTGTGTAAATGTATCCCGGCAAGCCGCCTTTAGAAAGTGACCACTAGCGCTACCCATATGAAGGCTGCAAGGCCTGCAAGAATATTGACTTGCCGGGTGGTCGCTGGAGATATTGGAACGGTTGTGGATGATGTCTGCTCGCTTCCACCACCTCCATTGCCTGTCGACGACGGCTTGGAAGAACCGCTCTGGCTCCCACCGCCGCCACCACCGCCGCCAGTGTGTGAAGGGTTAGAAGATCCTCCACCCGAGCTTGTAGGGCAGCCTTTGGTGCAAGTGGGATGATCTTCACCTCCTGTTTGTGAAGCACAGTTTCCACCTTTGGTACAGGAAGGATGATGGCCAGTCTTTGATCCTGAGGGAGTTGATTCGGGCGTCTTAGTCTTGCTAGTATCCGTGCCACTGCTACCGGGTCCCTTGGAAGTGCTCGTGCCAGATGGAGTTCCGGAAGGCGTGCCAGAGGGCGTGCCAGAAGGGGTACCAGAGGGTGTACCAGGACGTGTCTTTGTCGATTCCGGTGGGCAAGGGACTGTTGGGCTCTCTTTGACGCAATCGCAGAGTGCACTAACAGAGCTTAGAAGCTCCAAAGCACCAGGAATGCCGCATCCTTGGATGACACAATCCTGAGCGGCACTCTGGATCACAGCAGATGATGTACACTGGCATTGGAAGTCCTCGGTGGCGCACTTGGCGTGAGTGACGGCAGCAGAGAATATACAGTCCTCTCCACAATCAGGCACAGCGTCAGCGCTCTTTTGGCAAGGCGAAACTGTGACACAGGGCTGGGAGGAGGATGAGGTGATGGTGGATGTATCTGATGGATGGTCTTTAGATGAAGTACTCTCTGGAGGCTTCTCAGACGAGCTGCTTCCTGGGCTTGGCTCAGACGTGCTGCCCGGTGGAGGTCCCGAGGAGGAACCTGGAGCTGATGTTGTAGAGACACTCCCCGATGTCTGGCTTGGCTCTGCACTGCTGCTCTCGGGCGACAGGCTGCTCGAGGTAGGGTCAGGAGTTGCTGTTGCAACACACTGGCAGATAGTGGAACCTGCAGCAAGAGCCTTGTTGATGTCACTGGCGGCACAGCCTCCAAGCACGCATGGTAGAGCCTTGCTAATGATGGCAGATGAAGAAGCCGGAGTGCAACGACCTAAGAAGCATCAGGGTTGGTCGGTGGTTCAATGGGCATTCATCAATTGGGGAAAACTCACAGGCAACGTCGTCCGATTTCGTGCATCCAATCTCCGAACCTGCAGACAGAATGCAGGTAAACTAACCCATAGTGAGTTTGACACTCAAGAAAGGACAATTCTAGCCAAGCGACACTTACAGCACAAGAGGGGAAGTTGCTAGTCAGAGGAATACAAGCTGATTGGGCGTCCACCAGCCCGAGCCCAATGACGAGGCTAACAAAAGCCAATTGGTGTCTCATGGTAAACGAAAGTGGTGTTTTGTTTCTAATTTTCAGTGATTGGCAGTTGAACCATGCTTCAGAGAGGCTACAAAACATTCATCTAAAGGGAGAACAAACGAGATTCTTAAATAGAGAACACATGACAGGGATTGAGAGGACCTCGGTTCTATCATACTGAAGCTTCCAGTTGTCTCACAACTTGGCCTTGTCCTTGTGAAGAATGACACCGGGATGCCAGCAGTAAAGGTGTGGCTCATCATTGCCTCTGGAAATTGAATACATCCAGTCGTGGTCGACCACGATGGTAGGCTAACTGAGAAAGACGAAGAAATGTAACGTCGTCAAAGAGGAATATTGTTTCTCTGACACATACCACTACATCAACCCCAGTTCCTGAACTAGATGAAGGGGGGGCAGCTTCGCAGGGTATTGGTTCAGCCACATGAGGCATTACCAGAAGGAGTATCGAGGTGTCAATTCGGCCTCTTACTGGGATGTTCTGTTCTTGTCTTCCTTACCACCAACTAGCCCTGGGTCTACCTCCTTCCATTTTGGATGCATTCTACAATGGCTGTTCCGTATAGCCGACAAGCCACTCATATTAGATCCAGCCCAGCCATTGTCCTCCCGGAGATATTGAGTTTTTCTCAATGGCTAGAAGTGGTCGGCTGAACGAAGTCTTTATCAGAATGGAGGCTTAGATCGCCTTATAGAGAGGAGTTTGGACGAAACGCAACTGGAACTGAAAATACAATGAAGATAGAGCTCCCATCAAGACAAAAGCTCGGTGCAGAGACAAGCGAATTTGTCGCTACGTTAAGGTAGGAATAAGCAGGAATACGAGAAAACTGCTTTCCTATACCACCTCAAATGACGGTGCCAAGAACTGGTGTAGACGGATAACCAACTAACTAGAGCAGGGGAAAGGCTTCATCTCGAGACACAAATGCGGGGAAGGCCTCCAATTATGTGATGTGATGAGAGTCACCAGGCCCCCTCTTCAAGTCAGATCGGTTGTAACGCTCCGTGGGAACCTTGCAGTATGCAACCGCCGTATTGGGTCGCTTGCAGTTGTTCCCGGCATCACATGTTGTGTCGCCAGTCTAACATGACTCTACGTCGGCTCAGCCTGAATTCCACCAGATCGTCCCAGGAATACGGGGAAGCAGGGACATGAAAGCTGGCACCAATCTCAATGCCAGCCTTTGTTACACCCCAGTTCCTGGCCTGTTTTTTTTAATACATACCATACATATTGTCCCTGGCAAATAGCCGAATCGAAGCAATGTCCACGCGCTCTAATCAATACATTCATATTGTTGGCTCTTCGTCTATTACTCCACTATCTCCTGCAGAATCATCTCATACTGTGAGAATCACGGCTTGCGTCGACTAATGAAGGAATCACGGAAGATAAATGGCTGCAAATATCCCATATGGTATTCTTATCAGGATCAACAAGACCGGCCGGCCAGTACAGCTCATTCGGGAAGTCTCCCGATTGAAAGCCGATGATCGGCCCCGCAACCGGCGCCTTCGATCACCTTCGTCGAGACGGTGCCGAGCCGAAGCCCCTCTATTCATTGCTCTTATCTTCCTGAACTCGTTCTTTGAGTATATAGTATATTTTTGCACAGTTCAATGAAAGGAAATCATTAAGTCGTACTCAAGAATCATGTCTTCAAAGCAAACTGTCGCCATCGCCGGCTCGGGCAACATCGCCCAATATCTCACAGAGGAGTTCCTCACCGATGGCACCTACCATGTTACCATCATCTCCAGAACGGATCGTGAGTTCTTTCACAAGCCAGGTGTGACCTTCCACGTTGTCAAAGAGTACTCTACGGCTACGATCGTGCCTATCCTGGACGGCTATGACACAACCGCTCTCATCTCCACGCTCCAGGGTGCCGATCCCGAGTGGTACACATCCGTGCACGAGATCCTGCTCGCCTCATGTGTCGAGTCCAAGAAGTGCAAGCGCTTCATCTCGAGCGAGTACCAGGGCAACTTGAGGCACCAGCCCAACCTGCCGCGCGGCAACCACCGTGCCCGCCAGGCATTCCGTGCCAAACTGGCCGCGCAGAAGGAGATCCAGGCCACCCTCGTCCTGCAGGGCTGGCTGGCGGACTACTGGGTCCAGCCGGCTGACGAATCCAAGAGCTACATCCGCCCTTTCCCCAATGGCTGGCCCATCGACCTGGACCAGAAGACTGTCCGCATCCCCGGAACGGGAGACGAGCCCATCGGCTGGACGGCGACCCGCGACATGGCCAAGGCCGTCGTCAAATTAATCAGCTACGATGGCGACTGGCCTGACCACACATACGTCTTCGGAGAGCTAGGCACCTGGAATGAGGCTATTCCCAAGCTGGAGAAGTTTCTTGGACGCAAATTGGAGGTATGTACAGCCTAGATGGCGTTGGCGTGGTAGCTGGTGGATCGCATCACTGACGATATACAGCGCAACTACCGTCCCAAGGAGGACATTGACGCGGCTCTTGCTCAGACCGAGGACTTTGACCGCTGGTACACTGCTACCATGGACGAGTGGAACGTCCTGGGGGGGACGGCCGTGCCTCGGGATGAGGCTCTCAAGCTGCGCGAGACGGTTTTCAAGGATGTGCACTTCAGAGATATTGAGGAAGTTTTGGCAGACTCCAAGAGGACGCAGGTTTTGTAGAGAACTATGTCGTTGGGGTAGAACTAATCCAAAATCATCGAATTACATCGAAACTAGCCAGTGAGCTGTGGTGTCTAAAATTATCTAGGAAGGGCTGTGCATTAACAATGAAGTCTTTCAACTCCACGCGTGGTCCTCAGGCACAGCTAAGTCCCATTCATGCATGCAATACATCAGTCTCTTGATCAATGGCGTAAGTTCACTCCCCTCCCCCTTGCCGCGGATCTAAGGCTTTGGGTTAGGAAAGTATTAGGCCTGTTATCTCCTTCAACATGGCTATGAGTACAGAAAAGATGTAGACAAGTAGCAGCGCCCACTTGCCCTACTGGTGGAGGTCCGGAAGCATGCTTACGCTTGTGTAACATGTCTTTTTACTGGGATTCCCTGGCGGAGATATATGAACCGCTCACCAACGCTCCCAATTGAAACACACCCCCAAGGATGATTTATAAATAGCTACTTCAATCTTAACTACATGTGCACAGGAGCCGTGTAGCGTTTAAATTTTCTATCAATATTGGGTTCCTCCCATGGAGGGCATTGATCAAATCACAGGGAGGAACTATCAGCATCCATCACCGGCTTGCCAAGGGACAGATTGGGATGGTGGCACACCTTCAATGCAGGATGGTCTGATCGCCCGGCACGCTGCATCAGGGCTCCACTTCCCCGGTTTCTGGGACATCCATTATGATCTCATCCATCCCGTCGTGATGATGAACACTGGACCCCGAGAACCCTTAATGTGCGCCACCCGGGTCATGTTAGTTAGGCACATCAGTCTCGTACAGATACGACCATCAATAGTTTAGCTTTGATTCTGTCCATATGCTTCCATAGGTAGCCGATCGATCGGCATTATTCAATTCGTAAGTATACTTATTCTAAAGAGTGAAAGAAGAAGGCCTGCGTAAAAACCACAATACAATGCTTGAATCATTAAAATCGTTATCCCATCCATCCATGTGCAGGATTCCCCCCCTTAACCAATGCTCCTCCATCATTCAACGTCAATCTATCGCTCCTTGGTGTAGTCGCACTTGACCGCGTAAGTGTCATCCAGGGGGACAGTGCGGGCGGAGAAGCCCAGGCAGCCCTCGTTGTAGCCGGGCTTGTCGTTGCCGGCGTTGACCCAGACGCTCCAGGCGCCGTCGATGCTGTTGGGGCACGCGAGCCAGCCGGCGCCGTTGAGGCTCAGGTTGTCGTTCTCGTCGATGGCCCAGGTGGTGAGCTCTCCGTTGCGAGGCTTGCCCTCGTCGCCGGTGATGTAACCAAACTTGCCCTGGCCTGTAAAAGAGGTTAGAATACTCGTTATTAAATTATGATGCACAGGGGATGTAGGAGATTACGTACCCATTCCGGAGCGGTCGGCGTAGAGTTGCTGGGTCAATGTGTTTCCGTAGAGGTAGAGGCCGCCGTCCTTGAGGTAGAAGACGGCGCCGGTGGGAGCCTCGCCGTCGCAGGTGGCATTCTGGGCAGGCAGGTTGATAAACACACTTCTGAGGGCAGCGCCAAACTGGCCGAAGTGGATGGGGCTGGCCGAGCGCAGAGCCATGATGCCAAAGGCCTGGACATCATCGTCGGCGCGCTGGGCAACCTGGGAGATGGGGATCGCGGCTGCGACAGAGGCAAGAGCGGCTGTGAGGGCTGAGAACTTCATGATTGCGGTAGAGAAGAAGATGTTGTTTCTGGTTCGAGTGCTGGATGATTGTGGTTTGTTGTTGCTATTATTGTCAAGCGGATAGGGGTGGTCAAGTAATGATGCTGATGAGATAGAGCCTCCAAGTTTCGAAACCAGACAGCTGAGGGCGCAATCTTTATACTTTGTCGGTCAATGAGTACGCTATACACGATGCAATGCAAGAAAGAGCCAAAGACCTCGGTCGAAACGATTTGACGGAGCAATTGATGCGAGGAGAGCAAATGCTGTGCAATGCTGATCACCTCGTATCGACGCTGAGGTCCTGCGCCATAAGATGGAGCCATTTACGGACCCTGCTTAGTTGCTCTTGGCGACCTCGAGCCCTGTAACTGCTGTTGGCTAGCGCACCACCCAGCGTATTCGAGCGGCAACTTCAGTGGAGGCTCGCGACGTCACCAGGCCACCAGCGCGCTCGGGTCTGGTGATAATTACACAACATTGGGCTCTGGACGGGGCGCGGCTGGAGATTTCTCCAGAATCAACTTCGAGCCCGAGTCAATACCCGAAGCTCATTACAACTGCCGAGAACGAGATGGAGAGGCTAAGCCCACATCGTCTAAGTGATGCAATCATTCATTCATTCATGCGGGGTTGGATCGCCCTACTACCTAGCGTTGTACCATACAGTCCCAGCCAGACAGAATATTCCCAGTGATCACTCATCTGTTTCCCTCACGCTTGTACTGTATGCTGTAAAACCCAAAGAAATGTCTACCCTAAGCCAAAATAATGCTGCTTTCTCAGATGCCCTTTCGCCCGAACGAATCTTGTTGATCCCGCCGATTCCGTGTCTATAATATGCAACTTGTGCGCTTGCTCTTGTCTGATGAGACTCCCTCTTCTCTAGTAAATGCTCCATATACATCGCTCATGCCAATCGCTATTCTGAAACAGTGAAGACGCATAACAAAACAAACAACAATAAAAGACCAATGCCGTGGGATCCGCGGAAAGGGACAAGACGGCAGACCGGCGTCACACATGCCATGCATTTACGAGGTGCTTGGCGCCAACGGCCTGCCCGTTATTCGTGGCGGAAAAGCACATGCGTTCATACAACGAAAAAACGCCGCCTCTGGTCTCTTTTCGCATAGCCTCCGGGCTGCGTGATTCGGATCGTCCGAGATACTGGCGAGGCGGATACAAAGTCGTCACTGCTGCTCCACATCTTCCCTTGAGGTGGAATATTCGGTCCACAGCGGTGTTGAACATCACGCCTATCCCTATCACACAGCCGCCCTCCGACGTCTGGAATGGACCTTGGTGGGCTTATCCCCGATGCCCGGTATGATGCTCGTCTTCCCGGGGGCAGCCAGCTGAGGCTTCAGGTGTAGACACCGCTCACGCCTCAATTGTAGCATGACGTCGTGACTCACTCTCCCTCTCAGCAGCTGCTGCCGCCTCAGCCTCAGGCTGTACCTGGTGCTCAGACAATCTCGGGTTCCGCAACGCCAAGGCAAATGCGATCATCGGCACACACACCACAATGCCAGCAATGCAGAGCAGGCGCTGTACATGCTCGTAACTCGCAATAATGGCGGTGCGGATCTCAGTGCCCACCGGGTAGTGCTTAATCACGCCGAATGGGGAGTCATAGATGGCCTCGGGAAGAGTCTTGTTTTGTTGGAAGTCCAAGTTCGCTGTCAAGGTTGGGAGGAGGGTCTGTGTCCAGATCGCTCCAGCTAAACACGTGCCGAGTGCGCTGCCGACGTTGTAGAAGGACAAATACAGCCCCGTAAGGATAGCGACATGCTCTCGCGTTGCCGAAGCCTGGATGGAGGCCTGCGTCGGGTAGGCGAACAGGCCACCCGCCAGACCTAAAAGGATCTGCCCGCTGATGACGCCCGACTGGGTTGAGGGGGAAGCTCCGCCGGGGAACTTGATAAGAACAGCGAAGCCCACCATGAACATGCACGTACCCGCGACTATTATGTACTTGAGCCGACGTAGCCTGTAGATGACCAGGCCGATCAGAACACCGCTAACAACACCGAAGAAGGAGAAGAATGACAGAATGCGGGTGGCTGTGACAACAGAGAAATCAAAAGCAACGACGAGGACAGTGTAAAGATAGTTGCCCTGCGTGTACCAAGCAAAGTTGAGCAGACTTCTGACCGCGAGCGCAGCCCACACACCTCGGTCAGTGAGCAGATGGAACGGCACCAAAGGTGATCTCGCGCCCATGTGCTCCCACAGGAAAAAGACAGGGGCCAGCAAAAGACCGACGGTGAGGGGAACAATGATGTGCGGATCTTTCCAGTGGTCAATCCTCTCTCCAGTGATGGTAAGGGGTGCCAAAATCAGCGAGAAAGAAACCATAATCAGGATGAGACCAATGACATCGAGCTGGTGGAAGAGCTGGAAAAGCATGTGTTTGACGTCAATCATATCATATCGCTTCTGGCGATATGCGCCATCCTCGTCGTCAAATGCGCGGTGCTCGATCCGATAAAGCGTAATCAGGAGCGGCAAGGACGCAATAGGATAGATAATTGCCCACATGCCAAGACCCCATCTCCATGTCGTGACACTAAGCACAGCAGATGTAACATTACCACTGATCCACGTATTGACGATGAATGGGATGGCGGGAATGTAGCTGAAGAAGACGCGCGCTCGCATAGACGAGAAGTCGGCGACCAGCACCTCCATCAACAGCACGATGCACGTGTATCCCACCTGGTATATAATCGAGCCAAGGCAGAACGTCTTGACACCACTCGCTGTCGACTCGATCGTAATTCCCACTGTATATAATACCGTCGATACTACCACCACCTCGAACCGTCCAAAGACATCGGCGATCTTGGCCGCCGTCGGCTGGACAGCCACAGCGACGACAGCCCGCAGCACGTTGATGGTGGCCAGGTATGAGTGGAGGTTGAAGCTGGCGGTAGCGTATGGCTGGTAGGCTGAGCGAACCTGGGACTCCAGGCCGTAGGCATATCCCACGAGGAAGATGCTGGCGAAGAGGAGGATTCGCTGCGAGGTCGTGAGTCGGGAGGATATCAAGGCCATGCGGGCCACGCCCGGAGATCGAGTCGTCGCCGCATCGGTGCGCCGCAGCAAGGCATCGTCCTGAGGTATTTCTTCATGGGATTCGTTGGAGGAAGAGCCAGGTTTCTTGTGCCCGCCAATGTAGCCCAATAGAGGGGCATTCTCTGCTGCCGTCGACGAACTCGAGGCCATGATGGTGATTTAGGAACGTGATTATTGAGCAGGGCAGGGGGAAGAACAAGCAACAAGGCTGCCTGGCTCAGCCAGCGCAGTATGTAGATTCGGTCCAGGACGAAAAAGCAAGTAAGCAGGCAGCCACAACCAAAGGCAGCCCTTAGCGACAGGAGTAGGTACATCAGCTGCACAGCAGGCAAGACACGCAGGGCCCAGCACCAGGGCCCATGTCAGTGCAGTGCACTGTGCTTGCATGGTCGCCAATGATTAGATTTCTAGATTGATAAGCTGCATGCCTTGGCCTTGAGAACTGGCGGCGGATCTAACCGCCCACTAAACCACTCCCACAGTGCATTCCTCGCTATGGAACGCACAATTGTACGTGCTGTCAGTGGAGTTGCGCGCTGGAGCAAAGCGGGATAGTGCCCCACCATCGTCAGCCTGGTGGTGAATTAGGCCCGCCTCAGCCCCGTTTTTGGGCAAATGACCTTCCAGCATCAGGCGGACATACCCGGTGTTGCTCTGAGGCGCGCTCACTCCCTCACTCAGCTGATCCAACGCGTGTGCCGCTGAGCGCTTTAGCACGTGCGTGGGCAGCGGGTGTGATCAGATCAAGATCAGCCTGCACCCAATGCTCTGGCGCTGGATGTGTGTGCCTCCCCTCCCGGTTCCCTGCCACGCCTGGGCCTTGATGTTCCTGGTTGAAGCGACCTGCATCAAACGGATGGAGGGACGGACATGAGGTCTGGTTGGAGAGAGCTCGCCGAAGGGCAGATTCGGGAATTCGCTCAGGGGGGGGGACCTTGCCAGGGAGCGCCTTCAGTGGGTGCAGCTGCCGTTCTAAGCGCCTCTCCCGCTGAATCGCCAGCGAGGAGGTGGACACTGCAGCCCCACTGGCATGCTAATTCCGTCATACATCCTCCAACCCCACTTCGTTGCAGAGCAGTGGGTTCTGTGCTGTGAGGATCCCCACAACCTCACACTGTCCTGCCTGATTAGATGATGCGCCTTTCGAAAATGCGACCAGCACGTCAAATGGATTTTTTTCTTTTTCTTTTTCGCGCTTCTAGTGCTCGACGGAAAGGCTTAGGCAGGTCTTTTGCCTCGTCTCCTTGACCGCCACTCAGTAAACACTCGTGGAAGTACTCTCGTCGTCATCTTAGCACCTAGGTAGGTAGGTGTTAAGCGTGCGCCACGTGAAGCCTTAGCAGCCAACCGCTTCTCTCCTATGGGAAAAGTATGGTACCCCCCTGTGGCTCTCTGCATAGCCCTCACCAGTCCGAGCCACAGCGAGATTCAGATGCCACTATATCCAGCCTCACTTGTGCAAGCCTCATTGCACTGGCACCAACATAGGATCAGGAGACGAATGAGCGAATGAAATATGCATCAATTATGATTAGCAACGAGTACTAAGGTACTATACTATACAGTAAATTAGATGATAGAGAGGGTTATAATCCATGTCCTCTACATGATTAACGATAAGTAGCATGAGGTATCTTTATCTAATACTTTAGCGCAGGAAAAAGAAAAGAAAGGGGGAAAAGAAAGAATGCAGTATGACAGTGATGCCTAAATGATACTGTGCAGTCTAGTAGTACGCCATCCATGAAGAAAACGTCAGCAAAAGTAGCAAAGGAAATGACCAAATAAATCTATAGGAATCTGAGAGATGGTTTAGTTGGTAGTAATATGGTTGTAAGGAAATTGAAGGAATGTTGAGCGAAAGAGCGAGTAGTGTTTTGATCAGTTTGGTTTTTAGTGCCATCAGCTATCCCAGATAGCTCCGTACGCCGGGATGCCCCGAGTCTGTAGGCCATATACCACCTTCTTGGTGATCTTTTCATTGGCAATGATAATTACAGCCTCAGCACCGAAACCTCGGGCCATGTTGTACCCCATGCGGACAAGGTCTGGTCTTCCTTGTTTTCGGGTGTCATGAATGACGGCATCAGGGATGCTGCGACGGATGTTGCCAATGATTTCCTTGCCAAACTTGGCTTCTGGATGGGGTGTAGACCAGATCAGCTGCGAGGCACAAGTTGGGTTGTTGATGTGCCCTAGAACCGGGCCAATTCCTGACCCGGTTGCAATCAAGACAACCCGGTTAAAAAGTGTAGTAATGCGCATCACCCCACAGGTGGGCATACCACGCACCCACAGTTCTGTGGGCGGATTCTTTATACAGTTGCGAGTCCAATCGCCAGCGTTGGAAACAATGAGCGAGTAGCCCTTTCCAGAGGGCTTTGGTTTGGGTATCGTTGCGAAGGAATGCCATTCGAGAAGAGGACGCTGGGAAATTCGAGTAAAGGTCCCGTTAGTGGGAGTTGTATAAGAAAAATGCAAGCGGATAGCATGGTCGGACAAGACCTCCGATTCAACTGGCACGCGCCGAAGGTAGAGCCAGGAGGAGGCAACGCAGAGGGTTACCACGATCAGCATCCAGAAAATGGGATTTTGAACAAAGGCGAGGCCAATATCGTTAGCTCTTCTGCCGTAAATATACAGTACGGTACGGATCCAAAACAGTACCAAGGTGAGCCATCCTACGAATCTGTGGATACGCTCAAATTGGTTATGGTAAAGCTTTCGGAAGGCGGGCCAGGCAAAGGCCACCAAAATCAGACAAAGGAAGCAGAGCATCCACGAGAGGACCAAGACTGCCAAGGAGTTAGGGTTCATCTCACGCAGAGACCCGCCTTCGGTGAGGTGATCCAAGGTGTACTGAACAGTGGAAACAAATAGCCACACAGTAGCACATATTCCAGCTCCTGAGTGTATGCCACCCAGGTGGTAAATTTCAGCACACCGCGATCGTATCCAAAGGGGGGCGTTTTTGGGTATGGAGCAAGTCAGGGTATAAAGGAGGTTGATAACCAAGTCTTGTCGAATCATGACACAAGTGACCAAGTTTGCGGCTGCCATGATGCCAAGCCACTCAGAGTCACTTTGTGCTACAACAAGAGCGATCAAAACCCCAACATTCAGGAACCAAACAATGCTGAGAAGGGTTCGGTATATGATGAATATCTTGTGGCGTAAACCTTGGATCAGTCGGCCCTGCTTCTTGTTTGGAAGCTCGCGGCTGAGATCGCACTTCTCGTCTTGAGTATAACATGTCGCCGAAGATGTACAAGTTGTGAAGGATGCCAGTGAGCGGGTTTCCATGGCAGCCTCTAGATCAACGTTTATCTTTTCACGAACAGCGGGTGGTGGCACGGGCTGCAAGTTGGTAACTTGAGTTGTGGCTATGACCCGGAGCGCCCGCTTGTCAATCTTCCCATTTGCAGTCAGGGGCAATTGAGCCAACGCATGGATCTTCTGTGGTACAGCATAATAAGGCTGTGACTTCTTTGTATGAGACAAGACATCCGGAATATTGTGGTGAGCGGGGGAAACGAATCCGTGGATTTCCCCGTCAATAATCAGAACGGTCGCACGAATAACGCCCGGAAATGACGCCAAGGTGGCTGAGATGCCATCGAGTTCAACTCGAAATCCCTGCAAACCATCAGAATATGAGACAACGATAGAATTGGGCCTTTAGAAGAATCCCTACCTTGACCTTGACTTGATCATCGGCGCGACCCAAGATTTCAATATTACCATCTGGTCTCCAATAACCAAGATCACCAGTCTTGTACATTTTGGAGCTATTTCGAATTAGCGAAAATTCAGATCATTGTGTCATCAGTCAAGCTCACCCATCCTTGGAATAGACATCGGTGATGTAGTTCTCTCTTGTCTTAGACTCAAGACCGACATATCCACGCGAGACACCATCACCACCTGCCCACATGGAACCTGCGGAGCCAATGTCCACTCGTCTCAGCTGGGAATCTAAAATATAAACGGTGTTATTTGGCGTGGGCTTTCCGATTGAAAGGGGCTCTCCAACGACATGCTTGGACATGGTATTGACGATGGTAGTCTCTGTTGGGCCACAGCAGTTCCAGTATGTGGTGTGTGCTGCCCACAGATCTGCAAGTCTGGAGGCTTTGTCAGAAATGGCATGAGATCACCATAGGTACGAAGCAACCTACTGTTGGGAAGATGGCTCGCCAGCCGTAGCAACCACTTTGATTTGCGGGTACGCCTCTGGGTGGTATCGAGACAAAATGGTGGGCGTGCAAATAAGGACATTGATCTGCAACATGTTCTTGTTAGCTGATTCAAGATAACAAGGACAAATACGTGGCATACCTGTCGTAAGGTCGGCTCCCATTGGGGACCGCGCATAACAAGGGTACCTCCATTGCAGAGACAAGCAAAGATCTCCCATGCAGCTGTGAGGGGCTAATGTCAGATGGATGTGAGTTGGGAGAAGTAGAGCTGGATGTGAGACTATACCCATGTCAAAACTTATATTGAGGGTGCTCCCGACAATAATCCCCGGCCGTATAGATAGGTTTCCAGGTGCCTGGCACACTAAATTGGCCACATTCCTGTGGGTTACATCCACTCCTTTCGGCTTGCCTGTTGTACCTGCAAGGGAGAGTTAGCATGGTTCTGGTACCTCAATTCCATAGACCAATACCGGAAGTATAGATGACATAGCAACCTAAGTCATCTGTTGCGAGGTCCAACAGCTTTTCCTGTGGTTCATAGTTGTCACGGTGCTGGCACAGCTCGTCGATGAGTATGGGGACGAGAGGCTGTTGCCGTCTCAACTCTCGGAGGCGGTGCTCGGTTGAGTTAACACACAGGATGACGATCCCTCCTGATTGTTCAGTCACCACACGGATCGTCGAGTCCGGGACAACGCCGCCATCAAGTGGCACATACTGGGCGCCACATGACAGGACAGCCCATATGCCAATGATCATGTCAATGCCTCGCTTGACCAGAAGTGGCACCCTTTGTCCCGGGCCAACGCCAAGACGGCGCAGCTTAAGAGCCAAGTTCTGTGCTTGGCGAGCTAGATCATAGTACGTTAACTCCTTGGGTTGGGGCGAGGACATGTCGCGGAGTGCGATCGCGGCTGGTTGTGAGAAAGCATGGTGGTAGAATGCAGAAGTGACTGTAGAGAATGGACAGGAAGTGGACTCCCCATTTTCGAAGGAACGAATGAGTTGCAGATCCTTTGGTGAGAGCATCGTGCATAACTAGAAATCGACAAGAAGGAGCGTGAGGAGGTACGAGGGCCTAGATGGAACCGCGATGATCGTATACCGAGTTCACCAGAACGCAGAAGCCATCAAATGGCTTTTATAAGTTTGGGAAACTCATCTCGCTTCTTGGATCAGTAAGCTTAAACAAAAAAAGCTCGGATCTTCTCTCCCCTTCCCAGGAGATTCAGGACCCTGGATAGATCATCCCTCTTGGAATCTACCCTGGTTCGGAGCTTCGTTGCTAGGGGCATCTTTGCTTCGAGTACGGAGCATTCGGGGCTACCTGCAGAGATTGCTTGTCCATCCTCTTAGCCCTGAGTATTGCTAGGAGCGGCACAAAGCAGAGAGAGGAATGCCCTCGCTTACTGACTTCCATTGAAAAGAGCTAGCTCCGTGTCAAGTTGTGTAACTTCCGAGACGATTCTAACAATTACACATCGAAGTTTGCGACACTCCTTCAACATTAAAGCTGAATCGACCCACCAGGTAGCGGAGGAGGGCGTGGCAAGCGGGACGACGACCCAAAGCTTTCCGCCGAATGTACACCGAATAGCTCTAGGGGCCCATGCCCTTGGTACTTGGGTCAATGAAGGAACTGCTGAAGAACCGGTGTATTGGGAATGCCACAGATCCCTGTTCCTTGTTCGCTGCATTTCTAAGATGTCTCAGATCCCTCGTGCTGATTACCATAGGCCGCCTGCTTGCCGCTTGCGGGGCCTGTTGCCCCCGATACGTGCTCATGCCAGAGAAAGATTGGCCAGAAAGAGGAGACCGAGCAAGGTAGAATCGGCTAAATATGGTCATAATGGACGTAAATTCTGGCCCTTCCACGGTCCCTGGATCCTGGTCCTGTCTCATTGTGAGCCCACCACCCGCGGAGAATATGCAAGTCATCGCCTCCGATAATCCACTTGAAGAGCCAGCAGAATGAGTTCCAAGGCCTTGATTCCCTACCATTCAGAGGGATATCACGCAGCCTAATTGTGCACTAGTGAGCCACCAAATTCAGCTTTGAGCCCAGGGAAGCCGAATACCGTTTCGGATGAGAGACTGGCCCCGGTTACTAGAGCACTCGTCACTGTAATTTCTGCAATACGGTATGAAGGTGACAAATAATCGGCGTATATTTATGATATCTCACTAGCTGTTGCTGTCGAACGGGCCTGTGAACTGCAGTGGTTGATGGGCCAGCAGAAGGCATTCCCAGGTTCACGGACAACTTGTGAGACATCACACCATGATTCAGCCCTGGACAGACAAAGAGTGACCTTCGGGCAGGGTCCCTGATTCATGGCTGCCCATTTTCAAGTAGTAGCTCATTTAAATCCACAATTGGAGGACAATCTCAGGTAAAGTGATGACCACGGGACGATGGGACAGGATTCTGATCACCATTGGATGGGTCTCGTGGCGTTGGGTCTGTCACAGGCCGTGTATCTCGAAAACCGGATCCTGGTGGGTATAATTCAGTACAATGGCCATTAACGGCTTCCATTAGTGCTAGTGACGTGGCTCTGTATCGTTGTCTCAATTAAAATCATGAGTACCACACTCCTGGACATACCAATCCCATGTGTGGAAGTGCTAGTCTGCGACACATTTGATGAAGGAAGCGTGGTTCGCAGCTCTGACGCCGATAACAGTCGGACTTAGCAGAAGGGGACAATCTTGTCCATGAAACTAGCACCAAGAGGAGGCCTGATAGTCGAACACAACTGATACAAGCTCCGGTGATGAAGGGTGGGAATCAAGGGGATTCAGAGACGAATCTGGAGTTCATTGGCGATAGGTTGACCCTAGTTAGCCATGCCCTCAGAAGCCTTGTCAACCAGGAAATCGGTACGCCGATAAATTGGGCTGCGGGTTTGTCAAGCCTGAAGATTCATCTTGGGTGAGACAAATTTCGTCGTTGAAATGACCCTGTCACGTGGGTTCTGTGACAAGGAAGGTGCAACTGATCTCTGTGCCTCCCTGAGGAGGGAGGAAGGCTTAAAGGACGGGCGGGGTAATGCCTCATACATAGAGCGCATAACCCACGTTCATTGTCCTTTGTGGTTATTCCTATTCATTAGGTTGAGATGTCGGGTCGGGCGTTGCTGTTTTTTAATTATACTCGCACTCTCATCCGTGGTTATTCTTATTCACATGGTGCATCTGCCGACATGAGCCATGACATTCTTCCGTTCTGACTCAACAGCCTCGGGCTTTATTCATTGATTTATTCAACAATGCCAAATTTCACCAACAGAAGCATCACCCGCCAAAGGATCACATCAGCCTCACTTAAGTTTTCCAAGATTCACAGGGATCTCAAGCCATGATTATTCTCCATGAATATTTCATTCAGTCGAGCCGTTAGGCGGCCAGATCATTAACAACTATCTACCTCATTACATATAAATCCCTGCAATCCCTCCTCGCCCCCAAAGGAAAACAGAACACTCCCAAAGGGTATTCGACCGTACAAGTGTAGCGGTATGTGAAGCATACAAGTCCATCGTTTTGTTGTCAGTCATACAAGCATAGGTCCGATATTCCGGCCATCGGTATCAAAAGGTGAAGTCATTAAAATATTACAAACAGATAAGCAACGCGAGGGAAAGCTGAAGGGAATGGTCCCAGATTGGGAAGTGAACAGAAGTCATCTATGCAGAATTGCCAGACGCCTCTAATGACTCGATCGAGTCCATGGAGCGGCGTGCCTTGACGTATTTGGGCCAGGTGTTGGTCAAGACAAGATACTTGATGTGCATCTCGGCGTCGTCGAAAACGTCTTCACCGAAATCTTGAGGAATGGCGCCCCAAAAACGGACTTTGTCCATCATACCTTCCTTGGCAGATCTAGTCGTCTCCGTCATGACAATGGCTACCTCAGAGTTTGTGGAAGCAGCATCGTTCTTCCCATCAATGCGCCAATTAGCGGTCTCGAAAGGAAGGGCTGGATCAGGCGCAGGCTCGTCGCCGTAGAGGATTCGTGCAGCATTCTCAAATATAGTAGAGAGCTTCTTAAAATCAATGGATGAGAGGTTGATTTGGAACTCGGCACCTCGGCTACTGATGAAGTCGGTGTAGATATGAAGTGCCTCTTCAAAGCTAGCACGCTCATCAACATCGTCATCGTCATCTCGGTCGCCAATGCGACGACCGTCCGACAGCTTGATACCATAATGCTTAACCTTCCACTCCGCAACACGGCGAAGGAAGGCGATGTTTTCACCAGAGAAATCTTTCAGGGCAGAGAATTGTTGCAGTGGCTCTGGGTTTTTCACGAGAGTATGCTCGAGCGCATCCATAGTCAAGACACTGCTACCAGATGAACCGATCGAGGCGGCTTTCTTTCGAGGCTTTCCTGGAATCCAAGAGGCGTGGGTGCTTCCAGTATCAAGCGACCCGTTACCATTGAGCTTATTGCGGGCTTCCCAGCGAGCAATAGACTCCAATGTCTCCTGTCGAAGCGTTTGGTGCTTCACCACCTCCCAGCAAGGCAGGAAAATGGTGAAGATCTCAATGATCATGATCGAGATAGCAATCCTAAATAAGGTTAGCAACGATATCGACTAGAAGGGGATATGATGAGAAACATACCATTGGGGGGGGATGAAGTATTGGTTAACAACACCCATCTGGGGAACATAAAGAGCGACAAGCCACATTGGGGTAGCATGAAGAGAAGCAATACAGCACCCGATGGTCTGTACCCTCCATCCAAGGCTGTCGTGAAGACCCCGAGCCTTCCAAAGAATATAGGGAGCAACGAGCCAGGCCCAGATGCACTGCCAGAAGACGGACGGCCACCACTCCCAGCCCACCTTGGCCTGTGCCGCTTGCTCCTCGGGAGTTCCGTGAGTCTCGGTTCCTGGAACGCCGAAGCTGGGATGGAACTTGCGGGAAACGAGGAACATGATAAGTGTCAAGAAGAACTAAGCCAACATCAGCACGTGCTTGGGTTTTCGAGAATGTCTTAGAGGTGGGGATTTCTTACCTGGATGGCCATTCCAGCGCCGACAACTGCCAGCATTCTTGTCGTGTAGTCGAGTGCCTTGTATCGTTGAAGTAATGTCTTCTTGCCGGTCTGTGGCACTCGCTTCTCCATGGCATCCGATCGAATAAATCGCTTCTGCATCTCCGCAACGTATAGAAAACGAGAGTTGGAGGCGTGGAACAGGGCAATGCCGAAAGGTAGCCAGATGCCCATGATCCAGAACTCAACACCAGCGGTCATCCACTTGCCATACAGGTAACCAAATTGGACGGCAAGCCAATAAATGTGCAGTAAAATGACGGAGCCAAACGACAATGCCAAGCCACGGATCCTCAGGATGGGCATATCGCGTTTCCTGTACAAAAATACCATGCCTCCGACGAGAATGGCTGTCCAGATGGCAGCAAAACAGCAATAAAATGTACCCAAGCCATCTAGCTTGAAGTCCTTGGGAGCGCCCGCTCTGATAACAAGCGTCGCGTCCATTTTGGCTGGGTGTGAGAACCTTAGGTCCCAATGAATGAACAAGGTCTGGTCCGCAGTAGCGAGAGAAGACCCAACAAAGGAGGGCAGGGACGAAGAAGATGGTATGAGGGAGGGTGGAGGTGGGGATTAAAAACCAGACAACGACCACGGAAGGGAAGAATGAGATGGCATATCGCAAACCTTATATGCCATGAGTCAAAAGAAGAGAGAAGTAGTGAGAACTGTCTAAGAGCTGCACAATATACTACTCGGACAACAAAACCGGGGACCGCACGTAACCCAACATGGGGGTAACGAGAACAGGGGCCCCTCGACGGCTGGAAGTTCACGGCTCGCGCTGTTGGGGCTTCTCGCGTCTGGATTGGATTGAGCTAGTTAGATCATAGGTAGCCATGTTTGCCAGACCCAGATGAGAGTGTCGATCATGGTGTGCTTCACCCTTGCTCACAATCAGGACAAGGCTTGGTACCTAGCAAGTGGACACTGACGCCCACCACCGCATATGCGGATGTGGATAGGTCACAGGTGTGATTCACGAAAAAGCAATGCCCAACCAACCCATTTGATCAGTTTTCATGCAGCCCTGCATTAGATCATAGGCGTCCCGGCTGAATTGAGATGGGCCCCACCGCTTCCCATGTCCCCAGAGGGCCATGATGATGGCTTTTCTCTGGGTGATGGATGTGTGGCTCCACTGATGGTACCCAGGATGCTTCCGCGTCCCCGATCCGCCCTTTGCTGCTCAATCTCTCGTCCCGATGTCACGGAACAGGGGGGGCAGAGCAAGGGAGGAAATCACAATGCTGTCCCTCATTCTTTCTTTTGCTACTCTCGTTCCCCTGCCGCATTCGTCCCTCCCTCGCTCTTGTGTCTAGTCCATGGCAGCTGATCATGGCATCAGTCATTTCACCTCCGTGGGGGCCCCCATGCCGTCCCCAGAGCGCAAGCCCTGGCTAGCTTTGCCCGGCTCTTTTATTTCTTTTTTTCCTCTAGCGATAAATCAGATGGCTTTCCTAGGCTCGGCTCCTCTATGTACCCTGGCAGTTCAGTCAAGGATGGCATTCTAGCGGGCCGAGACAAACCTGACAGGGGATCACCCCTGTTCTCTGTTGTCGGCAAAGACAACCTACGTGCAGTATGCGATTTTGCCATCACATTCGCCGGTGAGGAGTTTCCTCGTGTATGTCTCATTTGTCATTTAAAAAACACGCGGGAAACTGAGCTAGCAAAAGAAAACGGTAGAGCGATCCAGGCCAAGTCGGTCCTTCTCTAGTGAAAGGTGTTTAAGATATGTGAAATCAGGGTCTCAGCGCCAGCCGCCAACAACGATGTTGAGGTAGGTATAAGACGATTCATCGACGAAATATTCATCTGGACTGCATATAGCACAAAGAATATAGAAATCAAGAGAGTACGAATGAAGAACGAAGCGAGCTTCCGGCAGTTGTTGATTTCCCTTCTCATTGTTCCCTCGCTTGATGTTGAAAAGCATTGCTTTTTCTTCCGCCCTGCATTCAGAACAGGCACACCTACAGTATATTCACGCAACTACACGCGTAAAACACACGAGCACCTCCTACCCCATCTAGATAAGGTCTCAATGAGCAAGATTATCGGAAGTTGCATCTCAACCCGGCCAATGGCAGGTCCTTGTGCATGACGTCTAGCCCCCCCACGACACGACTGGAGATGTGCCGATCTCTGAGCGCCGAGGTCCTGTGAACAGACCTGAGATGACCCGGTCAAGCAGTGACTGGTCAGATTTCATACAACAAACACTACACTCGAAGAGTAAGAGGCAGCCAAGGCAGCATAGCGCATTACTCGATGTGATTGCGAATTTGCGATGGTGAATCTGTTTGGTATCAACTAGCAACCACAACCGGATGTCGTCGACTCAGCGATGGCGTTGTGTGCGAGAGGGGAAGCCACTGAACCTTAAACTGGAAGTTTCTTGCCAGCTCAGCGCTCTTAGCAGAAATCTCTGGATGTTTTGCATCCATCAATCCAGACGGACGAACAGCCATCTAACTTCGTCTCTATTAGCGCATTGGCAAGTGCTCCGGACCCCCCCAAATGGGCGACATTAGAAATGGCACACTTAAGCACTCTATTAACACATACTTGATCTAGTATCTTTCAATACTCGCTATAAAATTCAAAGGAATATAATATCCAGGCCTAAATATTGGTATTCTCTAATTTCTATTTAGAATGCGCTATTTGTTTAGATATTTAGATGTTTATTCGGGTGTTTATTTAGGTGATTATTTGGGTCTTCATTTGGGTGTGCCATTTCCAGTATCACCTACTTGATGGTCCATCTGGGTACATCTTAGCGCTGCAAGGTCCTCCCCTACCCAATGGACGGTGCCATGCTGCGATCGTCGCAGTTCCCGATAAATCTCGCGCTGGGTCCTCTCTAATCGTGGAGTATACAGCGAGGAAAGATGCCATGACCTCATGAAGAGTGTTCAAACCTGACTAGGAGTAGTATTTTGTCCGCCCTTCTCTGGCCTCTTGGGCTTGGCGGACTGGACTCGAACGCTTGCGTGTCCGAACAGTCCGGTGCTCTCTGGTGATGTCTCATCTGAGCGGTTAAACCTGCGGGAGCCAACGGGAACCCAACCAGCCTGCTCACTCAATCACATCCTCGTGCCCTAAAACACTGTCTAGTTCAGCTCGCCTCCAATGAGCTCGCTTAGCAAATAGGCTTTACCGCTGAGTGCGAGGATGAGGATGCTCTGCACAGGCACTTGTGCGTATTTTTCGAGTGTCTCACTTTTGACAGCTTCGACGGTGCACCTTGGCGCATTCAACCTGCAGCTTAATCAATTAGCTCCCGTGCAAAGCCCATCCACGGCGGAGAGGACAGAGGAGGGAGAGGTCAAGAGGGTCTTCCACCCCTGTGCCCGCCCCTGCTCACCGGTCCACAGCACCGTCAGGTCAGTCGAAGAGTTCTCATCACGCACAGGCGGTCGATTAGGCCAAGGGCGTCGTCTAGTGCAATGTGTACTGCCGATCCTCATCCCCGATCCTGTCCACTTGCAAAATGTAATCCATTCATTCGTCTATATGGGGTCAGGCATCGCAAGGGTTTCCATCTGGATGGGACATTTCAGCTCAATCTAAGTTTTCGGGTTCTTAGTCCCAACTAAATGCCATCTTTTTACCCGGATTGTCATCAAATGCATGAGCTAGACGAGGGTATAGGAAAATGACTGGAGGCTAGAGTCCATGCTGCCTGCGCCTGGAGAGCTGAATCACGCTTGCCAGGCAACCAGGCAAGGCAAGCAAAAGGGAAAATCAAGCAGAAATTATATCCACACAATGACGTTGATGAGAATGGCGCAGGCTTCACAGACCGATTTTCGCAGAAACCTATAGACTCTGCCACTACCAGCAACTCAACTTAGCAGACGCCATTTAATTACCGATACATATTAGTTGGACTCTTCATCCTTAACTTCAGTAAATTCAACATTACAAACCATTCCGAAAACAATGTCATTCCATTATTGAATCAGAGGCCAAGCCGCAAGATCCTTTGGTGTTGCAGGGTGGCAGATACATTACCTATGCTTCAATCACAGGGGCTCAGACCTCTTCGTTCACAATGGGATTAGTTCAAGGAGGGGCATCTCCACGATTCTCGATACCCACACGATCTGTTCAAACCCAGCTTCAGTACTACGTAAGTAATTTTCCATTTGAAATTTCTTTATACCACAGCCTACTAATAGTGACATCCAGCATATATCCAGTGGATATCCGACTGACAAGACCACCATCATATGATTTCCATGGGTCAAAGCAACGAGGATACTAATCCTGAAAGGAACAATTGCTCATCTCGTGATATCAGGGTCACCACCCAGGCAGAGCCGACATCACATCCTCTTGCTGTTTCTTTAGGGGACATCTGAGGGACATTCCCCCTCCCCACCAGTTTGGAGAGGGAAAAAGAAACATGCAATTTCGATAAGCGCCCCGAGCGGCGAGAACTGTGCAGCAGCTGCTAGTCTGAAGAGGCGTTCCGGTGCTCAGACGGCTAGGCGAATCAAAGTCCAGCCTGAGAGACACAGCATCCGCCACCCACCGTTGTTGCCGTGCCGCTGCAGCTTTTTCTACGCGTGTGCTCTGCGTTCTCGCATAGTGATACGAGCGCGATTCAAAATGACAGTCGGATAAGACATGCCCCGCAGTCAGTCGTGGTGTTATTTCGTGTTAATCCATCTTCTCCAATGTGCTAGCACCTGCTGATCAGCACTGCAAGGGATCGTTCATATGCGAATGACACTCAAACGGTGCATAGTACTAAAGTGTCATCTAAGCGAGACGCTCAATTCTTTGCCATCATTCGTTTAAGCCCTATCGTCCAGACGCTCAAGCCTCCTCTGCAACTAAAAGAAGCTCTCAAGGGGGCTCTTGGTATCCCAAACAGGAAGGACAATCGTGGAGATGTGATTCCCGGCATACTTTCCACCTCAAAACGGTTCCGATAGTCAGCTCTTATCATCAGAAACGAGCTGTCTCAAGTCAGTGAGGCCACCATTGCATCATCACCAACTGGCCTAAGAACATTCGGTGGCCAAAGCGCACCAACGACCGCCGTTTCTGTACCCTTCTCATTTTTCGAGTATACCGCCGACCCATTTGCGAGTCTTTCCGTGTCTCTTTCATGAAGTCTTGTCTCGGGAGCTGGAACCCAGCTTCTTTGTGATCTGCATGTCTAGCTAGCTACCCTAGAGAGTACCTGTTAAGGTTCGAAACATCAACCTCCTCGGCCACCCTCAGTACCTCTCTGCTTTGTCCTGTGGGCTGTGTGTCCTGGTTTGCACCCTTTTTCCCGTCTTTCTTCATCCCATTGGGTCATTTCATTGGAAAGGTGACTGTAGGCCTGGGTACATAATCTGCAGAATATGATGCGCTGTGTCTCCAAAGAAATGAGCGGGCAGAGCTATCACAATATACACCTATCGTCAGTAAGATGGAGAAAAAGAAGGAACAGCTGGTTCGGTGAACTCATCCTACTTATGCTTATGAGCAGGTATTTCACACGATTTTGGCACAACACTGGGCATAATACTGGCTCTAGCTTGGTTGTTGTGCGTGGAGTTGGTGCTTGTCAGAAGCCGCTTTCGGTAGGTAGAGCTCCCGACCCATTTTCGGTTCAAGTTCACGCGTACACGTGATACCCATCCCCGAAATCAACAGCTCGATCAGCACACCAATCGCGACGCAGCGAATCGCGACACAACCACTCCCACCAATTGAGCCTCGAAGAAGCTGCGATACAGTTCTCCCGACTGTCTAGATCGCATTGACTGGACCAATCACGCGTTGCGCGTGCATTTCAAGCCACACCCCATACTCGGCTCCCTCGCAGCTATCACCATGTCGCAAGAGTACGAGAGTGTCGATGTCCCCGAAGAGTCGACAGCCAATCCCGGCAATGATGTCGAAATGGAGGAAGGCGCCTCTGGTGCGGCAAACGGCGACGAAGATGGAGCACTCGTCGAGATCCCCCTCCCCGACGACAACGCGGTTGCGCCGGCAAGACCTACATTTGCGAGCTATCTCATGAGCCCAGTTGTTTACTTGATTGTTGGATCAGAGGAGCCTGTTACGCTTACAGTCCACCAAGACCTTTTGACACAGTCCCCGCACTTCCAAGAAGCGTGCAATATGTTCATAGACGATGGTTCGGTAAGCTTCTTTCCATGGCCCGGACGCGCTCTGCGCATCCCAAATTGCGCCAGTTCTCTGACCTCAGGGTGTTGCGCACACTAGATACGTCAAATAGAGCTCCCCGACGAAAGCATTGAGGCTGTCGGGTGCTTCCTCGAGTTTCTATACACCGGCGAATACTTCCCCAGGAAGCTGCCAGGACAGCGCGTCCTCGAATCCGACCCAAGCCTTCCTACAGTCGACGACAGCGGCGACCAGCTGCTCAAGCATGCGCGCGTCTACACAATCGCCGAGAAGTACGGTGTCGACAAGCTCAAGACCCTGGCGAGCTCCAAAATTCATTGCGTCAACTCTACGGCCAAGGGCGAGATTGCCTACGCCCGCTACGTCTACGGCTACACTCGGATCGACGACGCCCACATGCGCGCGCCCATCGCAAGCTTCTGGGCTACCCGCTCGCATACCTTGCGCTCCGAGGCCGAGGAGGAGTTCAAGTCGTTGTGCTTGGAATACCCCCAGTTCGGATACGATGTGCTCAGTATGTCTACCCCGCCACCGTCCCAGCTTCATATCAATGTATCACTCCAATTGAGCTCTGCTAACACTATTCCTCTACAGCTCGTGTACTAGACGACAAGGCCAAACGGGAACGACACGAAAAGATGCACCCGGTGACCGGAAGCGGTCGCAAGCGCGCCCGCCAGAGCAGCGGTGCTTAGGCTTCCGATCTGTTTGGGCAATTCTTTCAGCATCCTTTATTTTTTTTTTTCACCGCGCAGCTTGTGGTCCAGATCGCATGTCGTATTCGATCACCAATATTCGCATAGTAACTTTACCGAGTCGGTCTTGAATCAAGGACAGTTGGCTAGACTGTTCGCTATGTCTATCGGAGTTAGATTTGAAGCCTATTTGTAGACGTCATGGGTTGATATAGTAGGAATTCATGGGAGATTTTAGCAGTGTATAATACGGAGTTATTCAAGTCGGATTGCAATGATAGAATGTATTCTTACGAGCCTGCGCAGTTGTGCATCCAAGCGATCCTGCCTACAATCATCATCTAATCTGTTCTCTTGTTAAGCTATTTTGCACTTGTACGCAGCATTGGAAGGCATCTGTGACGATTGTTACGAATGTTAACACAGCTAAGATAAGCGACGGGTACTCTTATGGGCCGTGGTACTGAGAAGCTTGTTTCCAATGTCCTCGGCACACAGAAGCAATAGTCTCAACATCAATCTCTGGGTGTCCAAATGAAAACTGGATCAGAAAAGGAGAACATTGTCATTACCATATACTTAATCCTTACGAGCCTACCTATAGGCAATATACCATTACCAGGTCCGTGGACAATTAACTTTTGCAGCTATGATACAAGAAGAAAGGAGGGAAGGGACCCCAAAAGACGCCAATATCGAGTAATAATGTAACAGGAGAACTCCCTGTCCCTCCGCTCCGTGGAGCGCTTTTATCGTGCCCGAGTCTGGGGCACCCATCCAACCTGCTCAATGGGCCACCTGATATAGAGCCTATACTCCTCATCGAGCAGGTAGTATATCCTCTTGATCAGGTGGATGCTCCAGCCCTCCACCCACCAGTACTTCTCCAGGTCACGGATCAGGACCGTGTAAAAGGCAAAGACGCAGAGGGCCTCGACATCGCCGTCCTTGAGGAGCTTGAGGTAGTCGTCGCTCACCATGAACAGCCAGTTGTAGAAGCCACGCAGCTTCTGGTCGTCGGCGAACTTGTTGCTCTCCAGGAAGGTGTAGCTCCGCTTCATCGTCTCGACGGCCTCGAGCAGGGTGTCCCGGCGGGCCTTGTCCCCAGACGAGGCGGTGCGGGAGCGGATGCCGGCCTGGAGCTCCGCGAGGACGCTGTTCTCGTCCGGGGAGTGGGTGCACCAGAACTCGGCGGATTCGGCGGTGGAGCGGAAGATGAGGGAGACGGCGGAGGAGAGGATGGCTTGCTCCTCAGCTGCGACGAGGGTGTCGATGCCGCGGAGGAGGAAGAGCCATTGGGGGATGCCGCTGTTGCCGACGAGGAGCATGTCCTCCTCCCTGCGAGGGCTGGCAAGGTTGGTGAAGAGGGTGATGACGCCGAAGAGGAAGAGGTTGGTGCAGTTCTGGCTGGTGACGGTGGGGATGAGCGGTAGGGCGCCCTTGAGGGATGCGGTGTGGTACTCGGTTGCCTGGGCGAGGAGGAGATCCCTCCTTGCCGGATCGAACCGGGCTACATGAAGGGCGGAGAGGGCAAGGATGCCATCCAGGATGTACCGTGTGTGGAAGCCAATCTGCGGTACGAGGACACGCCAGAGATCACGGACCTGAGGCTCAGTAGCGAATGTGGTGGAGGTAGAGACAGTCCAGTTATGCAGAAGCTCGAGCTCGAGGTTGGCTGGAGCGGCCGCCGGGGGCGATGAGGACGACGAGCTGTCATCACCCAGGAGGAAATCGCATTTTACATTGCGCTTGAGGCAGTTGCGGCAGGAAGGATGATGTTCATCACACTACAGATATCAGTGGGTGGTCATCAACGACCGAGAGTGCGGTGTGATGCAGGCCAGTACTGGGAGGACGTGAGGGGTGATGCAGACGCCACTCAGATCAAGGCGGATAGGGTACAACAGAGGTAGAGACGACATGGGCCTCGGGGATATGTGTATTCGAAAAGGCAGATTGGGTTGAAATGGTCCTTGGAGCAACATACCTTGACCTTTCTCGCCTTACACGCCTGGCACCCAGTCCGGGACTTGGTGTGCCACTTCCGTGGAGCTGTCGACGCGGCCTTGCGTTGCGGCAGCTCGGACATCATGTCTTCTTGTGTAAGTCTCCCTCTCTAGTACCGAAGGGTTGGTCGCAATCTGGCTGGGAGGGACCGAGTGGACGGACACCTCCTCAATCTAGCTGCAAGGGAGATCTGATGGAGAGTCACAGCGGGAAAAATGGCAAGGCAAGATGAGATGGACGAGTCTCTCGCATAGACGAATCTGATTCGCATATCCTCGTACGTTCTCCTCCATCAGGCGATCTGACGATGGAGGCCCGGGATACGAGATGAGCGAGAATGCGACAGGTACGGACGGAGCCCGGAACCATTCCCAACGCTGATTATTTCGGCTCGGACCCAAAACGACATGGAGCCAGGGTCAGTCAGCAGTGGGGCTTTCTTCCTTTTGGGTATACGAGTAAAAGCCAGCTGAAGGACTATTACGTTGTTGCGGATTCTTGTTGAGGCTAACTCGCGGCGCAAAGCGTGGATGGCAGGGGTAGCTGGAATTGAGTCACCCTTCTGATTCATTCGTGTATGCGACTCGGAGCCTTAATCGAAGTGATTCTCCAGGGCGTCGGTCAGGCATTGTGTTTGTTGTGTCCGTGTGTATCCGCGAACACAGTCCAGATGGTGAAGGGCCATCTTACGGAAATGTCGGAGCCAGGATGTCATCCTTCCAGAGCAATACTCTACGCTGAAGAAGCGAGAAAAGGATCTTTGTTCCGGAAGCAAGGCTGAGGGATGCCGCCGTTGGAGCCCGTCATCTAGATAGAGTTAAATGCTGGCTCCTTGGTGCGTTACAGCCATGTTTTGGGCCGTCTCACACGTTGATGCCACTCGCTGCCCCACAGATCACTGGCTGTCCGAGAGTGCGAGAGATACGACGGTCCTCAAGGTGACCCAAAAACGTGGCGGAGGACCAGATTGCCGATTCTACCGGCGAGCCATACCTGCAAGGCAGTCTTATTTTGGCATAGGCCGCACTCTCCTCGCGCATAGCCTCCCTATGACACGGCTGCCCATCTCAAATTGCTCCATTTCGGGGAGAAATCTGCCCGGTCAACCCTGCAAACTCCGCAGTCGAGTGTGCTTGGCTCCGTCAAGCGGCCGGGTGCAACTCCCGGCTGGCTGTTGCTGCTATGGAACTGATATTTATCAGATCGCCATGCTGGCTCGCGCTACTTTGCTTCGACCTGTGCACTTAAATTCATCCTCGAGCCGTACGGTCTTGGGAGAAGTCATACCAGGCTTTCCAGGAGCAAGATCCAACTGTATCCTTCCTGTAACTTCGATCTAGACCTCGTATATACGAATCCAAGACGACCCCGATTGTTCCAGAGTCTAGAAACACAGGAGAATGTCGCAGCTACCAAATGGCCTCATTGCCTTCGGGCCTCAAGCAAACTGTACCCTCGAACTCTGCCCCATCGAATGGAGTATTCTCAGGTATCAGCCCTCGCAGGCTGCTAGCGGAGTCTTCATCGGCATCTTCGGCCTTACTCTTCTATTACATGCTGCTCAGGGCATCTGGAGGCGCACCTGGGGCTTCATGGTGTGCATGGTGTGCGGGTGTATCCTCGAGATTGCTGGATATGTCGGTCGTTTACTGATACACAACAATCCATTCGATTTCAACGGCTTCATTATGCAAATTGGTTGGTACCACGTTGTGGTTTCCCGCGGTTGTATATGCTGATCTCATCTATAAACATAGTTTGCATTACCATCGCTCCTGTCTTCTATTGTTCAGCCATCTACGTTACCCTATCTCAAGTGTAAGTCTGAGAAATTCCTTGCTGTTCACTCTCAACTCAATGGATACCTCTGAGGGGACAATGACATCATATTCAGTACTAACCACGTCTTGTACAGCATCAACGCGCTAGACACCTCGATCTCCCGACTGAAGCCAGCGCTTTTCTACTGGATCTTCATCCCTTGCGATATCGTCTCCCTGGTCTTGCAGGCCGCCGGTGGTGCCCTGTCTTGCGTTGCAACCAATAAGGATGCCGTCCAGATCGGCGTGAACATTTCTTTGGCCGGTCTCGTCTTCCAGGTCTTCACCCTCATCTGCTTCTGCATCCTTTTCGCCGATTATCTCCTGCTTGCCAAGAAGTCCTCATGGAACCGCGTCGATAAGCCAATGAAGTTCTTCCTCTCCTTCCTTTTCTTGTCCATTTTCTTTGTTCTGCTTCGATGCGTCTACCGTATCGTGGAGCTCCATGATGGATACTTCAGTGAATGGTTCCGAGATGAGGATCTCTTCATCGCCCTCGAGTCAGCGTAAGTTTTGATCTATTTCCGCAGCCCCGTGTTGTTACTGCAATCCAAATTGGATTTGGTGTGATTCTTACTAACTTATGGCTTCTCAGAATTATGGCAGCTGCTGTCATTTCCCTCAACATCGGCCATCCTGGACCTGTCCTTGGCAGTAAGAAGGGAAGCAGGTTCGACGAGAAGCAGGGAGACATTTCCTCTTCATAAAAGCAAAGAAAATTTCTTATTATCCCTTATCCTCACATGATTTTTTTACGATTTTATACCATTCGATTTCTTAGGGAGGGATATCACAGATTTACAGGCTGCGGGCTGATTCAAAACAGCTAGACATTAACTTCTATAGATGAATTTCAAATAATATCACTAAGGGATCTCATTGCGGATACACGAACGATGTTCCTTTTCCCTATTCATCCTTTGGATTATTGGGTACTAATACTAAGAGACAATACAGCATATATGGTCACTTGATTCTTTTTATACTACTGAGTTTATGCATCATGAAAAGTAGTTTATTTATAATGACTTCTCCTGTCTGATTCATACCGGATATCCCAATCGTCGAAGCACTCGGTTGACATCCTCTGCCGTTGCCTCCGATGGAGGTTTCACGGCTGAACTTTTCATCTGGCTCAACAGCTTCCCGAAGAATGGGAGGTGCACCCTCCAATATCCTCCAGGATCTTGCCAATACTGGAGTGCGGGATGTCCGTCATCTGCGATGTACACGTCGCCATTCAGCTTCCGCACGTAAGGTCTTAGTTCGAACGAGGGCAGCCATTTTGGCTCTCGCAGCAGCTGGCCAGATTTCCCCCACGGAATCTGGATGTACTCTGGGAAAACGAATCGCGGACCTGACTTTTGGAAACCAAGAGCCATAGGATCTCCCCCGAACGCCCTCGGCAGCATGTCTCCAACAAACATCTCCTCTACAAGCTGCCATATCCGTCTGCGATTGAACAACCCCGGAGGGACATATTCTAAATCATCATAGTACCCCGTGGTTCCCCAGAGAGTTTCGGGGCCACAAGCCCCTGTTCTCTCGTCTGGTCTGAAACCACTACTCAATGAAGTGCCGTTGGGCACGTCGGAGAGCACACCGAAGTCTACTCCCCGGGTTAGTTGGCGGAAAAGAAGCTCCCAGTTCCACTCAAAATCCCGACCTCCAGGGCAGGCTTCTTCTGCTTTTTGGAGAAACACTTCGGGCGAGAGTTCCCAGAGCCAAGGCAGTGCGTCGGGTCGCAGTAACTTCAACCAGAATGATTGGGGAAGCAGGCCGGTGGTGACACGGGGAAGGTCTCGGCAAGGCAAGGAGTCGACAATCGCGCTTCGCAGCTCTAAGGGAAGGCCAAAGAATCTAGTTTCGAAAGAAGTGCGTTCACGGCAGCGTACTGGCTTTAGGTTAAGGAGTAGGGAATCTGTTAGATTTTTAATCTGGAGCGGATTAGTCCCAAAGAGCTAACAATATTCGTTCCTAGGTCAGCTCGGTCTCCCTGAAGAGTGTGAAAGGGGGCTAAGGCAGGTTGTGGTGGCATACATCGGGGAGATTTTCTTGCGGCGTGGCATACGGACCTGGCCATGCGTGGGTGGGATTGAACTCCCTCATCCGGACCTGAGACCTCCACTCTTCCCAGTTGATATGGAAATTTGCCTTCCCGATCATGTAATTCGGGGGGAACTCTCTACTTGCTGGCCCTTCACACTTGAGCTTCATGCTCAGTCTCCACCCCAGGGCTAGAAACAGGGCTCTCAGGTCCCTGATGTATGCGTCGCGAGGCGAGGCCTCGAAGACTTTTCGGGCAATGTCCAGACAGACCTCATGGATTGGAAGGTAGATCCGGCCATCGAACGTACGAAATCGCAAGTCTCCAGGGCGGTACAAAATATCCCGCTTGGTACCATCAGACAGCAGCAACTTGTAGTGGGAGACGGCATGGAACACGCCTTGATGTACCTCGATGTTTGCAGCCTGAGACCGTGGCCGAAACTCATCATGGACTCGAGCCTCGGCATACGTGGAGGTGCAAGGCTCAAAGATGTTGTTGTATTTCAAGGATGGAGCAAGGCTCCCGAGTTCGTCGTCGGGGTCACAGAGAAGCCGGATGTCCGACCACCAGGTGGATCTGGAAGCCAGCTCGTGCTCCCACCATGAATGGCTTTCTGAGTTGACAAACTCGTGGTTTTTGAGTCCGCAAATGAGGCAGCTCGTCATCGCGCCGATAAGCGGTGAGACGTGTAAGTGAGGCGAGCCAGGGAGGTAAACTGACAGTCGGTCAGTCAATCTAAGATTGGCCTTATCAAGACGGTCTTGGTTTATAGGTAGATTTCTCAGGTGTCGGAGAGCTAACAAGGGAAGCAGCAACAGAGGTCAAGAGAGGAGGGTTCAATGAGATGGAACAACCTATCACACCTTATAGCAACAGGGGAGGGGTACAAGACTGGCTATTGTACCTCAATATCAGCAATGAAGAGAAACGAAGAAACGACAGGGCTGAAACTAGGCTTACCAATAAATGTCTCGTCATTCAGTTGGGCTGCCATATTTCGTAAGTATTTTGTTGCGAGGGGCGATGGGTTAAGTGTGGATGAGGCACCGCGCTAAGAATGTATGAGACTGCTTGGATTCATGCTAGAGTCATCCAAAGGACTTTTAGCAAGGCTCAGTTTTGGCGTTGTTTGACAGAAGAAATACCATCGAGTTTTCAGTTGTTGCTGTACAGTTTTTAATGACCCATCTTGCTCTTCTTCTCAGCCAACCGACTTATTCCCTTCCACCTCTCGACAGACTTTCCGTCTCTCTTAGGCTGGTGATCATTGTTGATACTTGCTGGCCGAAAAAAAAGCCAGTCTTGTTGACCCATTCTCTCCTCAATCTCATAGAAGCTCGCTTCCTCCATAGGGAAGGGGCCTGAAGCGCAGTTCTGGACAGCACAACACAGTTGATTGATGCCGCGTGATCCCTCATCGGTACTGTTCCTGCAGCGTGGGTTCAGAAGTCCCGATGTTGGTACGGTTTTTGGGCCGCTTCGGTGGCTTGTTGGTGGACTTGCTGCAGCATCACACCATGTAACCAACAGCAGCCCAACCCTTCATGTTCGATTGTGGCCTCCTCTTCGAGTTACTCCATGCTCTTGACTTGCCATGTCACCACACGTCGTCAATCGATCCATCCACCATCATTCTTATCACCATCACTTCGCATGCAGGATGTGGGGACGGTGAACAGCCTTCTCGCGCCAAGACAGCCAACCAAGCGTACGAGCTCGACATGGATTGGTTGATAGATTGGTTCATTGAATCGACTGATCATACCCGGCCTGTTTTACAAACCGCCCACCCCACACTTCTTGAGTGTGGTTTCAATATGGGTATGGGCAGCTCACCTGGCGGCCGAACAGGAGGCCGGTCTCCTCTCGTTTCACTGTTGGTCGCTCTTCCGCTCTTCACGTGGACATCCTCAACCCCCCCAATACCCTCGACGCAAGCGGGCAACAGGCTCAGCAGCGGAATCATCTTACCAGGCCGCTGCTCCCACGGCCAGATAGCTGCCCGATCTCCCCTTGGAAGCGCGATTTGCCTCCTCAAAGGCTGGCAGCCGCCCCTCTAGCGCCCTCAAGCCGGTGAGACTGCTCAATGGTTCGATATCGCGTCATTATAGGACCTTGATACCGCAGTCACACCCGGATTGCAGGCTTGGAGAGCTGGCGCGCGTGGTTCTTGACCCCTGCTCCGGACGACCTCTTTGGTGGACTGGGCTAAGGATATGCGCCCATGTGTCCCGTGGCTCTCCAATTCTTCGTCGGACCTTCTTTGGGAGTGGATGGATGAGCTCTTATCCTGATAGGGAGGCCATTGCGGCGGGCACCGATGTGGATGACTGCTTTAGGCAAGACGACGAGGGAATGTTGGCGCGGGAGGCATGGAAGCTGCCATTCGAAGAGCTCTTTTGGATGATGTGAGAGATGTCGTATCTGTTGGTGTTTCCGATACTCCTACGGTAGCATGTGGCTCGGCGTCCGGTCGCTCTCGCATGGGTTACGCATGGGGAAGCAGATGGTATGACCAAGCTTGGGCACGGAGTGCTTGCAGCACACTGATCTCGGGGTGATTGCCGAATTATCTGAGGAGGGCACACAAGGTGAGAGTACTGGCACCAAAGCTCGAGACTGTCCAAACAAACAAACAATCTTTTCAACGTTTTGCAAAAGAAGACGGGCCCAAGGCTTCACCTTCCATGCACTAGATGGCGCAAACAACCCCCTGACTCTACTGCGTGGGACAGAGATCACCCCAACGATCATATCATAAATGCCGCCAACGAGTATGGGTGGGGGCGAGGCCAAGTTCAAGGTCTACGATGGCCACGGAACACAGATAGTTGGGTTCTCAATGGCGGTTGGTTTCCTCGCTTGTCCCATAGCCCCCAGTTCCCTCGGCCAGCAGAGATTCTGCCCCCTCTTCATCCGCATTGGTCCATGTCTCGCAGAGCCTCATGCTCTTCACAGCCACAAACGCCGTTGATGCAATGCCTATCATGGTACCTAGTCCGGCTGAAACTGCATTGACTGGAGTCGGGTCCCCTTCAAGAGGCCCGTTGGTGAGCGCATCCAGTCCAGACTGGGCAAAGTTTACTACCCCCGAGAAGCAGATGAGGGTCCCATATATGCGGCCAAAGGTTGCAAACCCAAACACCTTGGTTGCATAATCACTGTGAAGAAATGCAAGTTAGCTGCTTGTGACAATCTTGCGGTCAAGACGCATTAGGCAAGGGGGCGAGGAGGCTCGCTCACGAGATCGCGGAGTAGTAAAGTGGCCGAAAAATGACAAAGGTCACAACGGTCACGTATCCGGCCCAAAGGGTGGGAATGCAGTTGAAGACCCCAATCACCACCATGAGCACAGTCAGGATAGAGAACGTCGTGGGGACACTAACGTTGTTAAGCAGTAGACCGATGAAGAGAGTTGACAAAACGCCGCCCATGGGCAAAGCGGCATCAAAGAACTGGTTGATCTGCTGGCCGCGTTCCTCGCTCCCTAGCATGTATCTGTACTGCGACCGAATCGTAGCGATGAAGTAATTCATCCTGACCATCTGGAGAACCGTAAGTAGAAGAATCAGTACGTACCACGGAGTGTGCATTTGCCGATGGGCCGGCATTCCGTGAAGCATGCCCCAGACACCACTGTTACCCTGCCTCTCCTCTTCAGCCCTGATGCGTGCCTCTCGAAGTTGGGCATCACCGACTATTTCCTCGATTTGGTCCAGCTTTGTCCTCCTGCTCCTGTCCGAGCGTGCACTCTGAACCCTGACCAAGAGACGATCATCTACAATTTATCCATCAGATGAATGGGTATCACGCGTCTCGTCTTGAGCTTTCTCGATCTCGGCTGCTAGTTCTGCCATGGTATGGTATGAATGTGGTGGCATGATGAGAATCTCAGCAACAAGGATGGTAGCTGGCACAAGAAGATAAGCGAAGAAGAACTGCTGCGGCGAGAACCTCCCATCAGACGCCTCGCAGGCCAATCGGTAGAAGAGAAACACCGAAGCTGAGGCGTCAAAAGCACCAGTGATGACAGCCACCACAAGCCCAGAATATTTAGGGAACGCATTGGCAAGCTCGAAGCTAGGGATGAACAAGAAAGTTCCTCCTAACCCCAGAAGCATGCTCCCACTAATATACCCATCCAGACCCGGAGTGGCAAAGGACACTGCCATTAAGCTGCTGCCCATGGCGAGCGAGATACACCCTATGATCCAACATGATCGTCGGCCGAAACGGTCGAGAGTCAACCCGGATAACAGGCAAGCGATATTGGTAGTTATGGTCGCGGTGATGAAGATGAAATTCAGCCGCATCTCTTGCCTGGGACACGGAATGTATCTGGGGGGAAGATGGGCGAATGCTTCGGGTCCGTCGTGTCCGTCATCGTCACAGGAGTCACGGTAGACGCCCTCGGCCACCAAGACCGGTTTGAGGGCTGCAAACCCGAAGACAATTCCTGAGGCAAACCAGTTCGCCATTACGGCGGTGGCTACTTGAACTAAGCCACCATGTGAGCTTCGTTTTACCGTTGATAATTCACAATTGGGGCCAAGCCAGAAGGTCATGAAAAGGAATAGAAGCAGTTGTTGCGCACCTCCTCGTTTCCAATCAGAGACCTTATAAGCCGCCGTATGCGGTTGGCTCTGGGGCTTAAAATCGCCAGGCGAGAAGCTCATTCTTCGCCATTCCGTCAAATTCTCCTCTCCCGCATCAACTGATGCCACTCGCTGCTCAATATTGTGCCCGTTCTGGTTATCACGATCCGTTGGCAGTTGGTAGTCAAAGCCCTCTTCTCGAGTAACATGCTGAGCGAGAGACATACTGAGCGTCCAGACACACCTAGATAGGATCTCGGAGAATTCGTTGAGGAGAATATGACAATCTGATACACGTCTGAACTGGCTCGCGAAGATAGAAAGATCTTCTCATTTGGTTCCTTCTGGGATCTGAATCAGTGTTTAGTTCCGTCCTTGTTGGGGCAGTTCTCTCGATGTCTAAAACATAGAAACGCAGCATAGCCAATATAAGAGGCTTCTTTCCCTTGGATTTCCCGTCCGTGATCATTTAAACCCTAGTACAAGGAGCCGACGTGACGTAGATAAAGCTTCGCCACCCACCTCGAGACTCAAGACTAACGTTACAGCAAATCTGTGCCCACCCAAAACCAGGACGACCTCCGACGATAAGTAGAGCCACCGGTTACAAAATGAGCGGCTTATCCTGGTCATCATATGAATGGCTTGAGTCATTGCGATGCACTGCCCAGGTGTACAATCTTCGAGTCTTGAGAGATGTAACCAGTGACTGCCCACTGAGTAACTTGTGCCATGGCCAAAGTTTGTATCGTCAGTCACAATGACGTGAGACTCCCCAAATTGTTTGTCGATGATGTATTTGCAGAGCGTTATGCCCTAGTACGCTGTCAGTAAGAGAAGAGAGTGTTCTCAAATTGATGGGGGAAATCGTCGTATTCTTGAGTGCATTGCTTGACGCGAATAATTCGCCAACATTAATGGAAGACATTAGTCAAAATATCATTACTGGTTACTTTCTATACAATCCATTCAACTGCGTATCCAAAATAAATGAGCTCGGGACAAGAAAACCATTACATAACGAGCTTGTGTCCGTGGTATTTGACCTTCTCATCATAGGTCTTCACCTCAACCTCCTTGGCCCTCTTGGGGAAGCCATCGAAGGAGAGAGCATAGACAGCAACGGAATGAGCAATGAGCTAGAAAACCCCCAAGTTAGTACCATTATTAACAGGATACCTAGTTCAAAGCACGGGAACAACTTACCTTCGTGTTCACTTCCCAAGCAGTGATATTCACGTTGCTAAGGTCATCGCAGAGTTGGTGATAGCAAGGGTCGTACCATTGGCCAGCATTTCCACCAAACTTCTCAACCTCCTCTGGTGTCTTAATGCCCTCAGCGCCAGTGGCAATACCTCCACCGGGAATTCCGTTTCGGATGAAACCGTCGTAGTCACTACGACCGTCAAAGGGGATGAAGGTGTAGTTGAGACCATTCTTCTCATACCAATCGATGTAGAGCTCCTTCAGCTCTCCTGAGCCGTTAGGATTCGCGTCGTTAGTAGCATTGTAAATCTGGTAGGCAAAGTTGGGGCTTCCCATCATGTCGTAGTCCATGAAGAGACGGATCTTCTGGTTCTCCTCATCGGAAAGAGAAGCTACGTAGTGGTCTGATCCAAGAAGACCCTCTTCCTCGGCAGCCCACCAGGCAAAGCGCACGCAGTTGTTGACACGGAAGTTGGTGAGCTGGACGGCAACCTCAAGGACAGAAAGACTGCCGCTGCCATCGTCATTGATTCCAGGGCCTTCAGCAACACTGTCACTGTGGCCACCAAGCATAACACAGTTCTCAGGATCACCGCCAGCGGTCTGTGCAAGGATATTGGTGGTCGCGATCGTCTTGACCTCAGCGTCAATGTAGGAAATGACATCAAATTGGCGGCCTTGCTGCAGCTTTCGTACGTACTCCAGGCCCTCCTCGCCAGAGAGACCGAAGGTGGCAATGTGGTCGGGAGAGGGTGTACCGAGCGTACCGTGGACCAGGTCGGGGTCCGTGTTGTAGACAACGGCAGTGATGGCTCCTGCTCTGCCGGCCTGCTCAGACTTCGCACCGAACGAGCAGGTACCGCGCTTGATCAGGACGACATTGCCCTTGGCAGTAGCGGGATAGTCTGAAGGGTTGCAACCATCGTTCTTCACCAGGACGAGGTTGCCGTGGACAGGCTCATTCTGAAGTGTGGGAGGGGTTAGACCCATGGGTGAGGCAGACTTTGGGAGCTCATCGCCGATAACAAGACGAGACTCGAAGACGTTTCCAGATACTGCAGGGAACGACTGTTCGGATACGGTATAGTATGAACCAAGCTCGGCGAGGGTCGACTTGATGTAGGAGAGGGTTCCTCGATGTCCTAACCACGGATTAATCAGCTTCACTGGGATTCAAGGCGGGTTGGGATAGTGACTCACCCTCGCTACCAATAACTCGGGTAGGATGACCATACTCTTCCTCTCCAAGCTCGGCAATCTTGTAGAGTGATTCGGCACGCTTCTCCAGGTTCGCAGGCTTGATTTTGGCCTGCAGCGCATCGGTGTCGATGAGAGGCAGGTGCTCAAAGCTGGAGGCCACCGACTTCGGCGGCCCGTCCACGGGCTTGGAGAGGCCCGGGAGCTGGATTGGCTGCTGCAGAGGAACCTGCAGCGCCAGAGAGGTGCCGGCCAGAGCGGCGATAAGTGGGAGTCTCGTCATTGAATCGGTGGCTTGTCAGGTTGTTGCAGAAGGAGAGGGCAAGGAAGGAAGTGAGGATGACGGGTCTGCTCTTATCTTTAAGCTGCGAGATCCCGGCGCGATAGCTCCAGCCGCAGCTCCAGGCAGGTCCCAGCTGACCAGTGCCTGAGGCTGGGTTTCCAGGGGGATGCAGGGGAGCTTTGCCCAATGGCGAGCCTCCGATGGCGTCATTCCGTGTGACCCCTGACGCTTGTGTCATTCAGGTCCCGCGGCCGCCTCAAGCTATAGCTACCCTACACTCCTGCATCATCATCGACGCTATGATGCAGTGAACAAGCTTTTTCTCTGATCAAGGAAATACCGCTCTAGATGTACTTGGTATGGGCATAGACTAGAACAAACTGTATAGAAAGTACCCTCATCTAATCGTTCTTCCAACCCTTCTTGCAAAACTACAACTTGGTATGTAGATATTTCTCCTCCTCGGCTAGCTACAGAATTGGCGAGCAATCGAAGTCAATGTCTGAGACACAGTATGGATTGACGCCACGTCTACCCACTCTTCCTTCGCATGCAAGCCTTCCCCGAGTGGTCCCCAGAGAAGCGCGGGTATTCCAGCGTCCGCAAGCAGGGCGCAATCCGTCCAGAATGTGTCTCCATGGAAGGATACGTCCTCTCCCAGGGACTGCTCAACATGGTGATGGACCAACGAGGCGAACGGATGATCTGAGGCCAGGGAATAAGGAGAGCGTTCGAAGGTGACCTTCAGATCGTACTTGAATTGGGCATCCTGGTTTGCGATTTTCTCCAGCAAAGACCGGATCTCTTGCTCGACTTGGCCGGCTGTCTCGCCTGCAATCGTTCTGCGCTCAATCGTTATTGTGCATCGAGCTGGATAGGATGAAGCTTCCTCCCCGCCTTTGATCAACGACGCATGAACTGACGCAGGACCGACTTTAGGATCAATGACATTCGCCTCCAGATGTTTCGCATATTGATCTAGAGCAACGAGGAAATAGCCAGCCTTGCAGATGGCATCAACTCCCAAGTCTGCACGAGACCCATGTGCCGCAACTCCATGGATATCAACCTCGATCCAAACAAAACCTTTGTGGGAGTTGACAATTTTGAGATTAGTAGGCTCACTGACAACCGCACCGTCAGCTCTCCAACCAGCTGCCAGAACTTCTTCTGTCCCGATGCTTGCTGCTTCTTCGTCAGAAACTCCCGTAAAAATAACATCACCACGCAGACCCAGCGTCTTTGATCTTGCCAGTGCTACCATGGCAGCTGCCACACCACATTTCATGTCTGCAGATCCGCGACCGTAGAGTCTCCCATCTGCAATCTTGCCGCTTAGCGGATCTCCATCGTAACCCAGTATCGTGACTGTGTCAATGTGGCCATTGAACATGAGACTCTTCCCTCCACCGCTTCCACGAACGGCACCCACGATGGACGGGCGGCCGCGCGTTGGCTCTACCATGTGATTCTCAATATCGCGGTGCTCTAGCCAGTGTGTGATGTACCGAGCCACGGCAGTTTCACCAGGTCCTGGTGTGGAACCTAAACTTGGGTTGGACGAATCGATTTGAACAAGCGTTTGTGTTAGAGCAACGGGATCATCAGAAGACACATCGAGAGGAACATGATATTCTCGCGAGGCTTCGGTGCAGAGTAGAACAACTGTTGAACTCTTGGTGAGACCGAGGCTTTCTTTATCTTGGTCGCTAAGACGACGAAGAGCCGCCAAAGGGGATGCGCCACATGGGCCAGCGAGGACACCCGTTGCCCTAAGCTCCTCAACTGCCACATGCGACTCATAATCAGATACCGTCAAACTGGCATCGACGCCACTCTGGAGAAGCGGCCATGCAGTCGTGGAAACTGTACCACAGTCCAGACCTGCCATGATGGTAGGCGAAGTCTCAATTGGGGCAAATTGGTCCTTGCGCAAGCACTTCCACAAGCAAGCAGCGCTATCTGGCTCAACAGTCACCATAGAGGTGGCTCTGCCGTCTTGCTTCACATGCGAGACAACTGCCTGAGCAAAAGATCCAACACCGACCGGGCATATGACAAGGTCAGCGTTACGACCTCCTAGCTGGCTGTCCAGTTCTAACAGCATGGTTTGATAGCCCTGGACAATCCACTGCAAGACATTAGCTCAATCCAGTCCCTTAGGGGCGCAGAGTTCGAACAACACATACCGTAGGTATTTCCTCATAGCCACTAAAGGCGGTATCTTGGATAAATAGACCTTGGGACGTCGATGTCGCTGCCGCATAAGCAGCGGCAATCGCATCATCATAGCTCCCATCAGAGCGGACGATCCGAGCACCTTCTTTTTCGATGAGCTCGACCGTAGGCTGAGGCATGCTTGCAGGAATATGGATCTCGACAGGAATGCCGAGGATCGCGCCCATGCGGCCTACTGCCCGCCCGTGATTGCCATCGGTGGCGGCGTAGAGGGTGAAGTTCTCATGAGCCAAGGCCTTCGTCACTCTCTCAAGGCTTGCTTCTGCTCCAATTCCAAGTTTCTGGCACACTACGCGGAAAGTACCCCACGAGGCGCCTAGTATTTTGAACGACGGAAGATCAAAGCGATTGCCCTCGTACTTCACAAAGACGGCGCCGATACCAAGCTCCTCAGCAATCTTGTCCAGCGACACCAGTGGTGAAGGTTGATATTGAGGAAGACTTTGATGGAACTTGAAGGCTAGTTCCGTAGCATCTTTAGCGGCGGGCGCTGTCCAGCGTTTCGCATCAGGTCGGAAGAGGATTGGTCTTCGTAAATGTGACATTTCAAATTTGTTTAGAATGCTGTTGATTGTATATTTGAGAGCGAGAGGGAGTGAGTGACTGTTTGAAAGATAGATGGGATTTCCACGCTTGAAATACCTATCTGTCCGATTTGAGATGATGAGCGATGAGGGGTCCCATAGCATGCGCGCCTGCGCCTTAGATTGATGAAGTGCCGAGTGTCGGACTCGTCAAGTCAAAGTCCAACCCCACATAAAGAAATCGCTACTCTGGTGCCAACAATATATTGTGAGCCAAACTAACAACACCTATACAGTCTGTATAAAAAATAATAATTTGAAAGATACTGTCGCATCGTAGTTGCTGCAAAAGACCTTGCGGTGCTTCACTTGGTTGCTTGGCTAACCCACCAGCCAGAACAGAGAGCGAGGCACATGGGTGGCCAAGGCCTTTGAGCAATCGCGGTAGGAAGAAATATTGACGGGATCACTGATTATATACCCTTTTGCGGTAGAATGGTGACTTTGGGGCGCTGTTGATCCATTAATTTGCCCACCGATTCACTAGCTCCTCCTTCTTTTCACTTTTCTTGATGGCTATTTTCTTCGTATCGGCTCGTTCAAGTCCATCAACAACTTGCCGCACCTCGCTCAATAGAACGGATATAGAAGCCTCTATGTCTGAGTCCACGAGCTTGACCTCGTTGTAGGGGCTCTCAGCCAAGACGGTGTCTTTTAAGAGCTGGATAGCTAGGGCGACATCATTTAGATGTGATGAAGCGGTTGCTTCGAAACTCTCTTGGAGGCTGAGTGCAACATCGTTTTCTTTAGTGGTTCGTTCGGCGAGCACCCTCTTAAGTACGGCAATCTTTGCGTCGCTGGACGCCTCGGCTTCAATTGGAAACAAAATCGCAAGATTTTGAAGAAGGGTCTCGATAGGGGGCTCGTCCATGATGCCAGAGGACCGTCTTCGTGAGCGAGAGTCTGTGTTACCCCGTGGGCGGGCAGTTGGAGCTTTGCGAACTGGAGATATCGGTACGATTGGCTTCATCGAACGTCTGGGCTTATGTTCAGGTGCTGATAATTCGTCCTTGGCCATGCTGATTAAGGATGTCGAGGTAGCTTGATGAGACCGAAAGGTATTGATGGCTTGCTTCAACCGTTCGCCGCGGTCATTTAGATAATCAAGACATTGCAAAATCTAGCACAAAATCATGAAATTAGCGAGACTGACAGTGCCTCCACCGGTGAGAGGTATACGGACGTAGGTAAAAGCGGCCACAGATCGCTGCATGCTCTGGCCACTTCGGCCGCCAATTGACTTGGAAGCGGGATCCAGATACTGTTGTTCAACGGACATCTGGGCTACAGGAAAGATCTCGGAATAGAGAGATTCCAGCTCCTCTTCCAACGCCCTCACTTCCTCTCCCGTTATTTCTCGAGCCTCACCAGACCGCTCAGCATTGGTCAGCGTATCGAGGTAGATCCTGTCCAATTTTGTGCGCAGAGTTTCGACCGTGATTTTAATCAACCTGATGATTATGTCAGTTTATTTAAACACTTCCAAGAGGGACCACCTACCTTATACTGATTTCCCGAAGTTTGTCAATCTTGCCAGCTTCCTCAGGATCTTGCTGATCCAATTCCCATCCAAGTTTCTGTAGACTTGACAGTAGTTTATCATCTGATGCAAGTATGCCCTCAACTGTCACACTCAAGTTGCGACCAGATTCATCTCCTTGTTGCTTCAGCTCGGATACACGAAAGCCCACGCTCTGTGCTAGATCCTCGACCTGTTGGTTTATGTTTGTCAGTTCAGAGTTGTACAAGCTAAGGGAAAACAAAGGTTATCTTGTTCGAGTTCCTGTACCTCTGCAGAAACATATTTGTGTTCCGTGTTTGCTTTCCGCTGTCGCTCAACTTCAAACGTTTCTCTGCGAGCAGAGCTATCGGAGGCTTTCTTAATTAAGCGTGAAAATGCATCTTGCTGCTGCCGCAGCGTTTCGGTTTGCTTGGTGATTGCTTCAGTTGATCGGTTCAGCTCGTCAATAGCAATCCTGATGTCGTCCTCGCTCACGGCTTGAACCTCGGCCAGGTCATGTAGCGCGGCAAGCTTATCTACTTGCCCTGTCTTGTCTAACGTAGTATAGCTAGGAATTTTGGATTAGTTCATGTGATAGCATGATAGAAGAGACGATGAATACTCCGATCCAAGACAAAGGACCGAGGGGAGGTGGGTTGTGCTCACGTAGATATCTCATCTGGCGTGAGAAGGTTGTCTGGGCCGAGATGATTGATCGCCCATTGGGCAAAGGCAGGACCGTGATCCGGGTCCCTCAAGGCGCGGCGAACAGAATCACGTTCGGAATTGAGGCCATACTGACGCCCTGCGCCTAATATTAGGGACTCGGCACGCTCAACAAGTTGGGCATCCATGGACACAGGGTGATGGAGAGCGTCCCACAGATAACAATTGAAAATATTGCCGCGCGGCGCTGATTCTAGGTATTTGAGCTTTGGGTCCGATTAGCAATGTAGCTTTTGCATGTAGCTAGTTGATGGGTTACACGACATTGTCAAATGGTGTGAAATTGATGAGGTGGCCACGGGCTTGGCACCGCCATCAGCAGTGATGTTACGGTTCGCCATGATTATTACCGGGAGAGAACAAAACTTACCAAGAGAAGTTTATCGATTTGGCCGGAAATTCTGGATGAAGGACGCCTTAAGATATATATCGCATATGCATGCAGACAAGCCAGGCGATCATGCAGGCCCAGTCGGTGTCTCGGATCGGCTGTGAGCTGGCACCTGGGTAACTAGGCCTAATCAGAGCTGACAGCGAGGCTGAGAACTTGTAATGGGCAGCTGTCTGAGCATCCAGGAACAACACGAAGGTGGTGGCTGTGTTGCGATGTGCGATTGAACTGTTGGGTTGTGGCACTGGCTGGTACCCGATTTGTGCACGCTGAGGTTGGAGGCGGTCAGCGAGCCGTGGCGCCGGCCCTGAAGGTTTACTGGCTGCTTAGCACTGTCCAGCTCCCGTCTCCGCTCCGTACAGGCCTCCCCTCATGCAACGACCCGTCTACAACACAGCAGAGGGCCACGTAAGTAGGGTGCGCCTGCCTGCAGGTCCAAGGACTCTGCCCTTACCTGAGGTTGCCTCAAGTTGCACTGCAGCACCCAAGTCAGGTATCCACTTTAGGGACCCAAGCCTTGTGACCAGCAACGGCTCCAGACATCGTCCAATCCCACCACCCATCCGATCATGTGGGAAAGACAATTTCAACGTCACTGGCAAATCTCAAGGCACGCTGTGACGAAAGACGGGGCTGTGACTTAAGACACAGGCTCAGGATTAATATTAGACATCAATGGTAATACCCCAGATCCCACTTTCAGATCTGGGGAGACACCCCCTGTCTGGTTTATCAACTGAAAGAGACATAGAATCGTTCAGTTGAGGGGAAAACAACTTCGATCTAGCAATAAGCGACTAAACGGGTCTTTTTCATGTACACGGAGGTAGGAGTAGATTTCGTGGTGCTGATCGCGGAAGCCACCCCACAAACGGCCATCTACCGGCGGAGTGACAACTCGGTTGTCGACAACAGATCTGCCGAATGTACATGGCCTTGTTGGCACAGTTCGGGAGGCTGCTGCGATATAACGCGGGGTTATGGATTACAGAGCGCGAGGGAGATGGTGGCACAGGAAATCTCATCTCGAGGCCCCTCCACCCCTGCCCTAACCTCAACCGCATCGATCTGAGAGACGGGTGTGTGGAATCAGAGTGCATAAAGAAGCCGAGAAAACAAAAAGTGGATATGACCTACATCCCGTTGGGAGATGTCATATGGCTGATGGCTACTTGCATAACGCGCTGCAGCTCCAATGTGCTCTGATCTCTTCCCCCACCTTTCCTCTGCTCGACTTTGCTGGGCCTTCGGGAACGCACATGTAATAAACGTCGATATATTTATCTATATGCCTAGCCTCTACTATAGCTGGATTCTCTTTCGAGAATCCTATGTAACACCGTTAGCTGCTCTGGGGTGGGAAATCTTTGCGGAGGCACTTTACTCTGTGTGCAGCCAAATGAGTACTTATTCAACCGATGCCCCATCGTTCTAAGTTTCCCACAAGTATTCAGGACTTGGATTGATCTTTTATTTCAAGACTGGTAAGTCGTTGTGCCCTAGGTAGTGTGAGAGCCAGTTACTGGTCGGTACTTGTCCTTTGACTGTGTGGTTTGGCTGTTCAGAATTCTGAAGCCCGCACAAAGAGAGAAGGTTGGCCTACCGACAACACCTCGAAAGTGACCATCAGGGTCATACCTAGCCGCACTTTCCCCCCCCACTCCTTTTTCTCCCTCTTTCTTCTCGTATTTCAGAGTGACACCCCCGAGCAGTTTTCATTCATTCACCATCATCCTTTGACAGTTTATGTTCTATGATTGTGCATGGAACAAATTGAGCCTACTGGTTACCTTCTTTTTGCTTTCGAATCCTTTCGTTCACTTTTCACGCTCCCTTTACGTGTTTTGCCGAAGTTGATTTCTTGTTGCCCGATCCACAACTTCTAAATACCTTACTCATGCCACTTCTGACCCTCAAGATTCATCCGAAGTCATAAGGATGACTACCTTAACACCCCCGGCGCCTGATACAGGCCCCATGGTATCAACTGTTTGGAGATCGAGGTTCCGAGCTGCTATCAGCGAGATTACGGCCATCCTATACGTCCTTGTTCTTTTCCTTGCGAGCGAGCTCATCATCTGGGGGATTAGCCTCGCACTTGCCCCGGCAAAGATTGAGTATTTCTCATCCATCTTGAGCATGGTTCTCGTCTTCGCGACTATGACCGGAATCACAACAGTGCTGCCCAGTTCCGATCCCTTCTATCAACAGATGATGAAGCCAAAGGTGAGAGAAACCAAACCCATGCATCACCATGATTCTGGACTAGAAACTGACTCAAGACTCTTCAAGATTGATTTTGTAAACTCGCACCTTGGTATTGGATTTCCTGTCCCCATTGTCATGTTGGATCCCGAAAATGTTCTCAACGTGGAAGAGATTGCTAAGATCATTTGTGTTTGTGGTAAGACTCAACTCTGACGGAAGATGAGATGATAACATTGATTGATACTGACTTTCGTGCCTTATAGTAATTACAAATCTCATTTCGTGGATCGCATGCTTCGCTGTAGCTTGTTGCGTCCTTAAACTCGCCATTCGAAGTTGCGGTTTCACTACCTGCGGCGGAAGGTTAGGATTCAACAAAACCGAAACCGAGAACCGAGCTCGCTGGGAAGCAGAAGCGACCAACCAGCCCAAGGAAGAGACAGAAGGTGCCTCAGAGCCAGCGAACGGAACTCGACCTAAAACCCCTGCTATCGACCTCAGCGCCGAACCCACCAAGACCAAATCACCAGTGTGGGATTCTGCTGTAGCTTCATACCCCATCCTCTTACCCGCACTTGTTGCTCTGGTGGTCGGTACTCCAATTGCCGCTAAACTTCGCGATCACCGTGTGTTGGACATGTGTATTCTTCTCTGCCTATGGACTACCTCAGTAAAGTCCCAACGTCGCTTCAAAGTTTCACGAATTTGCTCAGGGAGCCCCCGAATCAAGAGGATGTTGACCACTATCATGAATCCTGTCCTTCTTACGACCCTGTTGATGATCACATATACGAGATCAAAGGCCGCTGCGACGATCAATATGAGCCTGACTGATCTTCTTCATCAATTCAGTTTCGGGACGCCACTCTACGCCATCTGGACTTCTACGGTGATGAAGACTCTTCTCACTGCCAACCCTACACGAAACTTTGGTGCCGGAGACACGGCTCTGGCTTTCCTAGAATGCGGGATAGTTGTTTGGGGGTTCAAGCTGTATGAGAACCGCCGCCAAGTTTTTAGCCTCAATGGGTTGCTCATTACGATTCTGGCAACCCTTGCGGCAGCTTTCAATGTGTACATGGGCGTCCGTATAGCCCGACTTGTTGGACTCGAGCCCGCTGAGGCACTGGCCTTTGCAGCCCGATGCACGACTCTGGCGCTCGCAAGACCAATCATGGCATCTCTCCAGGGCAACTCTGCAGTCAACGCCGCCTTGGTGGTCACCAACGGAATTCTTGGACAGTTATTGTGCCCATATCTCGTGGGGCTTTTGGATGTCAAGAAGTGCAGTGACACCGTGGAGAATCAAGAGCCTTCTGAATATGCAAGCCCCCAGGAAAACTCCGCAGAAGCCTCCAGTTCGGAATCCCAGACACCATTGGTGACTGAGCCAAAACCCCAGGATGAGCCAGAGTCACCAACAACTCCAATAATAAGATTGGGTGACCAGGAGATCGTGGGCACTAGCCCGGCAACCACCGCGCTGAACTTCACCATCGGAGCCAATGCAGCAGCCATGGGGGTTGCATACCTGTTGGAGATCAGATCGCCCGCCGCCGCCTTCGCTGTTCTCTCGATGATCGTGTATGGCGTTATGACTGTGGTTTTCGCCACCGTGGAGCCAATGAGATCCGCCGTCATCGCGCTGGCCGCATAAGGCAGAACAACTTCGTTGAGTCATGTTTTTCTTCTTCTTTCGTTACTCCTTTTTGTATTTGTTTTGAAAAAGCTCGGAGTTGGTACAAATTGGTCGTGTGTTTATTGAAGTGTGACTTTGAATTCAAGGGGCGGGATAGTGTGATTTGGAGTTACTACAAGTATTCGTTACAAGCAAACGTCTGGGGTAAAACTGAAAGGGATAGACAAGACCAGGTTAATGGCGTTAATAATCGACTCACCATGTCGCGGTTTGATTTAATTAGAGTAATGCAAGTTCTTTCTACTGCATCTACAGATTGTGATGTTCAAAACAAATGTTACCTTTATTGAGCACCACAGTGGCTAAGTTTAAACTCGAAGCAAAGGTATACAGCAAAGGTATACGATGAAGAGAAAAGATCAATTGGGTGCAAGAACAAACGGCGCGCGAACAAAGACAGTTTGCAAGTTCCCGCAGTTCCGTGGATCCTTCAGCTTGCTATAGAAGAATCAGTGACTCAAAAGGGATCGCTCCATCATATCTTCAACTCTACTCAAGCATATGTCTGGCCTAAACAAAGATAGCTTATTCCAATCTGGAGAGCTCAGTCAGTTATACTTGCCAAACAGTGACCTCTAGGAATATCAAAAGATGCGAGGGGGGTCATCTAATGGGGTGGATGCCATGAACAGGGGGGAAGGTGGTAAGAATATTCACTTACCTCTCAATCAAATGCAACCCACTCGCCGTCTCTACTACGCCGCTCATTTCTCCCACCTGGAGACCAAAGGCGGCATCCTCAAACTCCTTTTGCATGTCGCCATGCCCGAAATAGCCCAAGTCGCCCCGCTTGCGCGCGGACGAGCAGTCTGAATCTGTCAGAGCCAGCTCGCCTAAGGCAGCTTCGCCAGACTTGATTCTCTTCTCATGACCTCTGATGATCTCGTACGCTTCTTCCTTCGACCGGGTAATTTCATTCTGTAACACGCCCCAAACCAAGGGTGTCAGCAACGATCTCCCATAGCAACCAAGGACTTGACACGTGGGAAAAGACTAGGGTGGATGTGCAGGACGGGGGCGGGATCAATTCGGACCTCTCTCCAGCTCTTGGGGCGTCGGCTGTCTCGGTGCTTAACAAGCAGATGCGCAGCACGGATCTTGCCCTCGGGGACGCCAACTACTGCGCCGGAACGCGAGGTGGCGCTGTGGTGGGCAGCCATGTAGTGCTTGAGCTTTTCGGTGTCGGTACCTGAGGGAGGTTCCCATCGCGAAACCTTCTCGTTGGAGTTGAAATAGTAAGGGAGGTTCTTGGAGTTAGAATGGCGAACTTCCCAGCCAGGGGGGAGACCAGTGTCTGCCTGTATTCCACGGAGGGTCAGTTCCATTCAAGTTCCATTTTCCGAATATAAATAGGGGACTGATAGCCGCGGTTCATAGCTTCGGTGATGCAATGTAGACTCACCATTGTGGATATGGGGGTAGTTGTTATCGTGGG